CTCTAGGGGAAGAGTAGCTTATTCAAAGGGTACGAACATTAAAAAATTTGAGAGATGCAGCCAAACTGCCCTCCAAAAAGGCTTCACCAGGGAGGGTTCCCGCGGAGGCAGCGTGTCCCCCACACTCTCCTGGACAATGAGGGTGGGACTTTTTAGTCTGGGCGTAAACTTGATGCTGACTTACTTGCCCGCCTCAGACTCCTGCAGAGGCGCATGGTGTCCATACCCTTGTCAGTTCTGTGGATTTTCTCCTGGATGTGCCATCCAGCATTTTGCCTGTGATCTGCAGATGCCCATTTTGGGTACTGATTCGTTTTACCTGTCAGGTATGTTGCAAACATTTCCCGAGTCTGTTATTTGTCTTTTATCTTTGCTTACAATGTCTTTTCCTTAGAGATATACTAAGATGTAATGAGGGACTTCCCTGGTGGCACAGTGGTTAAGAATCCGCCTGCCAACGCAGGGGACACGGTTTGAGCCCTGGCCCAGGAACATCCCACATGCCGCGGAGCAACTAAGCCCGAGTGCCACAACTACTGAGCCTGCGCTCTAGAGACCGTGAGCCACAACTACTGAGCCCGCGTGCCACAACTACTGAAGCCCGCACACCTAGAGTCTGTGCTCCGCAACAAGAGAAGCCACTGCAATGAGAAGCCCACGCGTCGCAACGAAGAGTAGCCCCCGCTCGCTGCAACTAGAGAAAGCCCGTGCACAGCAATGAAGACCCAATGCAGCCAAAAAAATAAAAAATAAATTAAAAAAAAAAGATGTAATGACATCAAATCTGTTGATTTTTGACTTTTCCATGTCTACGTGGTTTTAAACTTTTTAAGGGGAGCCTTCCTCATGCTTGGGATTGTTGCAAAGATGCACTGAGTCAATATGTGCATAGCCAACGGGCGAAGGGCAGTTGGAGCTGAATGCCACATCTCTGCACATATGGAAGTCTTAGAAAATGAAGGAGGTAACAAGCACAGATGCAGAAGAAAGTAGAGAGTTATGGGCCACTATGTGCCACTCTACGGTAGTACTTTAAAGGCTAGGAACTCTGGATAGATTTCCAGCAAAATGTAAATGTCCAAAATTGATCCAAGAAGAGGCAGAAAATCCATACAGACAAATCACCAGAGAAGAAAATGAAAGGTGGTTAAAAGTCTACCACTAATGAAGACACCAGGCATGGAAAGTTCTATTGCTGAGGTCACTCCAACTTTCAGAGAAGGCTGCAAACTTGGTCACTAGGGATTTGCGGCTTTCTCTGACACTGGGAGGCACAGGGAGCAGGCCTGGGGAGAGGAGTTCAGTCAGATTTGGGCCTGGCGATGGAGGGTCTGCACCGATCAGGGGCTCCTCTACTGGATGGATGGGCGATGGATGAGTGATGGATGGGTGGGTGGGTCGGTGGGTGGATGGGGGGAGGTAGGTGGATGACTCAAATATTTGGCCATGAGGCCAGCTGATTACAGGAAGCCACAATGAGGAGGAAAGAAAAGTTCACTGGGATAAAAGGTCAGAGGGAGAGGGAGGCATGGCTGTGATCAAAAAGGTCTGGGGCCTCAAGGGCTGGGAGAGGGAACCCTGGCAGTGGCAGGGCTTGGCACGGAGGCCAAGGTTAAGGGGCAGGAAGGTTCAGATGTGGGAGGGAATGGGGTAGAATTAAGAAATGGAACCCTTGGGGCTTCCCTGGTGGCGCAGTGGTTGAGAGTCCGCCTGCCGATGCAGGGGACACGGGTTCATGACGCAGTCTGGGAAGATCCCACATGCCGCGGAGCAGCTGGGCTCGTGAGCCTGCTGGGCTGGGCTCGTGAGCCTGCTGGGCTGGGCTCAGCCTGCCACTGAGCCTGCGCATCCGGAGCCTGTGCTCCGCAACGGGAGAGGCCACAACAGTGAGAGGCCCGCGTACCACAAAAAAAAAAAAAAAAAAAAAGCTACTATTAAAAAAAAAAAAAGCTACTATTATCGTACACACAGCTCAGTGCTAGGAAGAGACTGGGGATGGATGTTCCGCCCGACCTCCTTCCCCTTCAGTGGGAAGTGCTTTCTGGGCACTGCAGTGCTTGGGGGTGAGGAGGACCCTTGAGGGAAGCCAAGACTCTAGTTAGCCAAGAGGAAGCATTCTGCAGACACCCCATGGCTCCGAGCTCCTTAGAGGCACACTGGGGTGCTCTGCTTCCAGTAGGAAACACAAGCCTGGGGCCTTGCTCCTCAAGGAGGTGAGCTGTCATGGAGAGAGGGGATGGCTTAGTTTCAAGTCAACAACAGGGTAGAATCCCAAAGCTCCCAGACTCTGGGATCATCACAGTGACTCAAAGCTCTTGCTGGAAAAGGACAGACAAGCAGAAGCCACAGAAGTTGAGGGGCAAGCTGTGAGAAAGCGGCCTGTGCCCCAGCTGCAGGAAAACTGAGGGGCTTAAGGCAGAGGCAGCGCGAGTGCCACTCAGCCAGGCTGGGTGACCCGGGGGTGCTTGTGAGAACCGGATGGTGCCAAGGCGCCAGGAGTGGCCCAATGTGTGGTGGCTCTGGTGGGTTCCATGGGCCCCTTTCTCAGGAACCAGCACCCAAGACCCCCACGGGCAGCCTGGGTGTCTGCGGCCCACAGCCCCGGCCTCTCGGCTGCACCGCATACACTGTCGCCTTTATCTCGAGGAAGCCGAGGCCTGAGCCGGCCTGGGAACCCGGCAGCCTTTGCTGTCACCACAAAGCCGCACAGAAACATCAGCTGCTTTGCTAACCTGCGGTATCTTCCCGCAGATGCTGCCAGAGGAGTGGGTTCACGGAGCTCCCCCTGCAGAGACGAAGCCAAGCTCTGTGCCTGACTCCTGACCTGGCCGCTCCACAGGGCGGCTCCGTTCTCCCTTCTGAACCCCACCCCCCCCACCCCGTCAGCCTGGCCGGCCCTCCTCCCTCTGGCCCTCTTCCGGTCCCCCCACCGCGGCTCTTCTGTTGCCAGCATCCCCAACCACACGGCGCAGGCGATGCTGGGCCGGGGGTGGGGGGTGACCCACCAGTGAGGTGGCCCAGCTCCGCACGCAGCCGGTTCCCCAGCTCCAGGAGCTGCTCCTTCTCCAGGCGCAGCCGCAGGATTTTCCTGGCTGCCTCCTTGAGCTTCCTCTGGAGTCGGGGCACAGACAGGGCCTGAGGGAGCTGTGCCTCCTGGTCCTCGGTCCCCGCAGGTCCTCCACGTGCCGGGCCCTGTGAACAAACCCACACAGCAGAGGCCATCAGATGAGTCCTGGAGGGGAACGGAAAGTGGGAGTGCGGATGGTGGGCGCCACTGCCCAAACGGCTGTCCCAGAACCCACATCGCTGGGTGACGTCCCTCCAACATGATGCATCCATGCCCACCTTCTCTCTCAGGGGGGCGGGGCTGGGCTGGGGGTGGGCTCTGAATGAAGGCCCTCGAGGCTCCCAGGCCAAGGCCTGCCTGCGCTTGGTGACTCTGTGCCCTGCCCCAATGCCTTTGTCTTTCCAGTGACAGTGAGGAGCCAGCTGGCACCCAGGCCTGGGCTCCCTCCAAAGGTGCCCCCGGGACCCGGGAGGGCTACACGTGTGATCGGACCCCCTTCGAGGGCCCCATGGTCACAGGCTGGGTGCCTGCTGCCCGCCTGGTGTGGAAGGGGGCTGGCAGAGACCCAAAAGGTGGCCTGGGACGGGAACCCAGCCTCCATTACTCTCTTCCCCTTACCCTGGACGTCTGCACTGCTGGGCCCCTCTGCCCTGGGCCCTTCTCCAACGCCTCTCCTGCCTTCATTCACTCAGTCCCTTGCCTTCCCTGCCTCCTCTCTGGCTCCATCCGTCCATACTCCCGTCTCAGTCATTTCTCTACCTGCCATTCAGACTCCCCTCCACCACCTGCAGGCCGGCCCAGGTTTCCCACCACCCTGACCCGGAGGAAGGTGCCAGAGAAGCAAAGGAGGCCAAGGGAGGGAGCAGTGGCCGCCTGGGGCCTCCGCTTCTGGGCCTGGAGGCTGCCTTGGGCCAACACCCGAGGTCTGAACCCCGTTGCTTGGGCAGCACCACGCGGCCCTACATCCTACCACTATCCCAGTCTGGACTCACACAGGGGTATTTGGAATGGGGTGGGTGTGGGGAAAGGAGAAAGGGAAAAAGGAGAATGTGTGTGGCTGCCTCTGTTCCAGGCAGGGGCCCAGGAGGAGCCAGTGGCGTCCAAGGCCCCAAAGGAAGCAGGTGGCCTACTTAGGCATGGCTGCTCCTGACACCTATGAAAAACCGCATTGTGCTGTCCCAGCCACTTGAGCTGGCGCCAGAACAAGGAATCTGCTCTACATCCCTGGAAAAGACCAGCACGCCCTGTCCTGGCCCTGTTTCTTGGTGTGCCTTTCCAGGGCTGGCAAGCACCTGTGCCCTCCTGTGGCCTGGGAGCTACGGTGTTTGCACACCGGTGCCTCCAGCACATGCCTGACGTATTGGCATGAAGCGGGGCGTGGAGGTGATACGGTAAAGGGACCATCAGAGAAAGGCCTTCGCCCCGCAGCCCCAGCTCGGGGTCTCTCGAGTGTACAGGACCAGGGCCGGTGGGGGGCTGTGTCTTGGAGACCTGTAGCGTGGATTCACACACAGGGCTGCACAGGCCCCAGGCGGCTAACCCGACCCGTTGGGAAAGGTACACAACCTCCAGGGATGTAGCCCTGGGATTGGGGGACTGGCCAGGCCACTCTTTCTCCAGGCTTTGTCCTCTACAAGGATATGCTGTGGGATTCTCTTGTGTTATTTTAAGTAAGGAAAGAACAATCCTGAAAACAGAGACTGTGCAAAACTCAGAACACTTAGAGATTTAAAAATCTTCAAAAGCAGGACCCCACCCTGCAAAGATGGCCCTGGCCTGAGCTGAGGAACATGCTGCCTGAGGCGTGACCTCAGGCGTGGCTGGGCTCGGGGATGGGGAGTCCTGATCTTGAGTGGCCCATGTTCTTGTCACACAGTGACTGCACGCGATGAGCGGGTGCTGCAGCTGGGCCCCACCTCTCTTAAGCTTAGTTCCTGGTAAGATGAAGCTTATTTTGATGACTCTAAAGTCTCACCCCACAATGACACAATGCTAATAATGACCTGAGATGCCCAGGAGCTTCTGCACTGCTGCGTTCAGGGCCCAAGGTCCCACCCCGTGATGGCCCCATCCACCTGCCCTCGCCTGCTCTGGTGCAGGTCCCAGCATCCTGGCCAGAACGGAAACATCCACGCAGCACAGGGAAAGCTTGAGGCATCCTAATGACAACTCTGTACCCAAGGGAAGGAAGTGCCTGGGCTCCTTGAAGAAGCCCTGCGGGGAGGCTGAGGCCCAGGGAGAGGCAGCGCGGGCTCCCTTGGGGCAGGTTCCCAAGCTTCCAGGCAGAGCCAGAGGGATCGCCAGCCAACACTGCCCCCCAGCGGTCCAAGGTGCCCAGTGGGGAGGCCTGAGGAAACCCAGCATCCATCTGTTTGGGGCCTGGGCAAGGCAGCCTGCAAGAGGGAGGGGCCTGGGTGAGCCGAGAACCATGGAAGTGTGACTGCAGCCACCTGCCCCACAGCGTCTCCTGTGACTGCGGGGAGCTCCAGGGTCTGCAGGTCCCTTCTGGGCTGGGGTGCTGGCTTTTGTGTGGCAGGGTCCCACCCCCACAGAGCAGCTGCAGGGATGGCCCGAGGCCCACGCCCCTGTCTCACTGCTGGTGGTTCCTCCCCTCTCCACACACATCTCTCTCTGAACCATCTGAGGGTGAGTTGGAGACATCGCACCCCTTTATGCCCCAATACTTCAGTTTGTACTTTCTGAAAACAAGGAAATTCTCTTAATAACCAGTTATTAGAACCAGAAATTTCACAGGGACGTGGCATTATGACCAGTCCACAGGCACCTCCATCAGCTGCCCAGAGGACGTCCTTTATGGCCTGTTTCTCCTGCCCGGGGTCCAGGATCCTGCATGGCTTCTGCATCCTGGGTCTCCTAAGTCCCCAGCAGAATGTTCTCAACAGGACAAGCTGTGGGTTTAGTGCCCCTCGGTCTGGGTCTGTCCTTGGAGTCAGGAGGTCTTGTGCTTGGAGTCAGGAGCGAGGCTGTGTCCCTCACCCGTCCGGAGGCTCGTGATGTCCGTCTGTCCCAGTGTTGGCAATGGGAGCTGATCTCTCAGAAGTGGCGTCCACTGGCTGCAGCACCAGAAAGTTACTGTTTTCCCTTTCCAATAAGAAGAACTTCTGGGGAGATTCCACATAAACAGCTTGTCCAGAATTTCAGCATCCGATGACACCCCCCAGCTGTGTCATTCCCTTCATGTCCTTGGTTGATGTTCTAAGTAAGGAAGGGTTTTCCTCTCTCCTTCCTTTCCTTGCCGGTTTATTTGCAGCAGAGTGAATGCGACTCCCTGTTTTAGTAGGTAGATGATGACCCTGACTGGCCTGGATCTGGTCAGTGGGAGCCCTTTATGCTGGCTCCTGCATCCCTGTCATGTCTCCGTGGTGGAATTGGCCACTTACCCTGGTTCCTCTCAGCAAAGCAGGAAGTTCGGGAATGCGATCTAGGCACTAGGTGCGCTCACCCACCCTGGGGAGCCACTGCCCCTTGGCTCCTGGTGGACAGAGCCGGGATATGTGCACACCTCTCTCTTTAAAGTAACCCACGAGTTTACTGTGGTGACTCCAACCCCAACCTGAGCCCCAGAGGCATCCTAGCCCTCCTGGCCACCTTCTTCCCCAGCTTCAGAAGCCTGGTGCCCACATCCTCTTCTCTGGACACCCAACACACAGCTGGGCAATTATGAGCAGAGCCTGGGTGGGCCTGGCCTGGGCAAAGGGTTTCCCGTGCCTCCAATTTCTCACGCTGTGAGCGACCTCATCAAGGTCACAGGATGCCTAGACCTGGAAGGAGGTGGGACCCTGATAGCCATGCAGAAACTAAGGCCCAGAGAGCTCACTCAACACCCACCTTGGGAGAGTGGCCTTGGGCCTCAAGTCGCTTCAGCTCCCAGGCTGTCTGCCAAGGGATTAAATACCTCGATTTTAATTTCCACACATTTGCATGGTTTCTTCCCCCTTCACTCTAAACAAGGGGATCAGAGTTATGCGAGGGCTGCTAACAGGAGAGCTGCAAGGGTCCCTGGGCTGCAGTGAGCCCCTGCCAGCACCTGGAACAGCCATGGCCGTGGCGGGAGAGCAGACACATCACCAACGGCATTTGCTGCCCAGCTGGGCCCGTAGCCTCTGGACTTAACTCCTAGGTTACAGGACTGTGGGGAGGTCTGGGGCTCCTGGGGACAGCATCCACCTACCGATGGCACAGAGGGTTCAGTATCCCACTTCTAGTGCCCCCTCGGGGCTCAGGCTCCCTCAGCTTCCCCATCACCAGCCCATCTCCCTCTGCAGGCACTCCTCATATGTTCGCCCCTGCCAAGGCACAGCTGGCCCCCCTCATGTTCCTTAAGCCAGACAGTGTCCTGGGTTGCATCTTCTCCATTCTAGGTCCTTCACAGTCCCCGAGAGTAGGTCCTGGAGCCTGGTCCCTCTTGTGTCCTTAAGTATCACTCTCAAAACTTGGCCCATGTGATGAGAACCACTGGGGGGCATATGATCGATGCTACTTCTGCCTGAGGACTCTTGATGCCTTCCAGACATCATTTTACTGTCCTTAAAACCTTCTGCTTATGAATAGGTCACCATGTGCAACCACAGGTAACACAGGTAATCACAGGTCACCGCAGGTAATGCAGGTAATCACAGGTAACTGCAGGTCACCATCTGTGACTGCAAATAACCGTAGGTAACTGACAGGTCTCGGGAGGCATGTCACACGATGCCCTGTGAAGAAAGCCCATTCCTTGCAGCACCTCCATCACGGTGTTCAGGAAGCAGGAAGGTGGCCTGTCTGGCAGACATGTGGGGACAACGTGCTGCTGCAGAGCTCTTGCCCTGGCCTGGGACCTTGGCTTAAACCCAGCCACGGAACTGGAGGGGAACTGGGTGCCAAGGGCCTGACCAGGACCAGGACGCCAGGTGGCCCGTGCTCTGGACAGCATCTCAAACACTCTGAGAAGCTCATGAGAACCACAGGCTCCATCCCTGAGGGTCCTCTGGAAGGAGAACCCACCATGTTGCATCCATTTCAGGGCTTCCTAGGTCCTTGAAGCACAGTCAAGGACTCCTGTGTTAGAGGACACCGAACAGTCCTCTTCACAAGTGCAGCCTCCCTACATGCCTTTTTTTTTTTTTTTTTGCGGTACGCGGGCCTCTCACTGCTGTGGCCTCTCCCGTTGCGGAACACAGGCTCCGGACGCGCAGGCTCAGCGGCCATGGTTCACGGGCCCAGCCGCTCTGTGGCGTGTGGGATCTTCCCGGACCGGGGCACGAACCCACGTCCCCTGCATTGGCAGGCGGACTCTCAACCACTGCGGCACCAGGGAAGCCCCCTACATGCTTTTAAAGGGATCTCAGCGACCCGGAGGATGAGGGGCTTGGCAGCCCTTGACAGCGTCTGCGGAGAACAGCCCCGACAGAGCCAGCCTAGTCAAGGAAGAAGAGGGAGGCCGGGGCAGACGGGCCGCTCACTGGCCAAGACTGCACCCCAGACCAGTCCCGCACAGGACACAGAGCACCCACAGGGCACCCACCTCTCCCCCGACAGCCTCGGTGTCTGAGGCGTGCGGTTGCTGCCTGCCTGAAGCACCCCCGCCTTCCTTCCGGGCTGACCTGAGATGCTTCTCAATCTCAGCCACATGCTTCCGCAGCTGCAAAACCTCCAGGTGCACCTGGTCCAGCTCGTGGGGAAGCTCTCGCTGGATGGTGTCCATGTCCAGGGGTTCCCGCAGCACCTGGGAGGCCGTTTTAGAGACAATGTTAGGAAGGCGGCCAGCTCTGGGAAGGGGTCTGGAACAGATCTGCAGGGAGGACAGGGAAGCAAGAGAAGGGCAGCAGTAGATGGGAGAATGTCCAGAAAGATCAGAAGGACACATGCCGGTCAGCCTCCCCTCTCTGGCCGAATTCCATCACCCACAAGCCTGCAGCCCCACCACCAAGCTGCCGCTCTTCTGGTCCCAACTAACCAGGCTCCCAGGCGGCTCCACTTGTCGCCCCCAGAGTGGGGACGCGGGCACCTGCAGCAGAGCCTACACTGGACCCAAGGTTCGTTGGGGAGAGTCCCTGCACGGTGTCTGGACAGTGGGCCTTAAAACCTTCTTCCTGGGCCCTAGTCCCAGGTGGAGACAAAGGGCACGTAACTGCGGGGAGGGGTGGGGAGGCCCAAGCCTATCAAAAGGCAGGGGTGGATGAAGGCGTAGGAAGAGGCAGGAAGGGAGGGAAGTCCTGGCTGCACGAACAACCTGGGGCAGCTGCGGGGCGGCTAGGAGGTGCCCGAGTAGAGTCCTGGCCAGAGCTCCAGGGCCGCCCCCGTCCTTCAGCTACCTCTCTCGACAAGGTCTGCTCTCCCAACATAAGGAGGGGAAAAGGACAGGTAGAAAGACAGACACACCTCTCTACACCCTCAACTTGCCAATTTTATTCTCAGGAAGATAAAATATCTTCCTATTCGAGGGCTTCCTACAAAGAATTCATAATGAATATTTTATTCTATTTATTCACATACACTAAAAAAAATGACCATTTGATAAACATACACTGTTAACTAAAAAACACTTCAAGGTAGACTTTTTTTCCACAGGATAATCAAACCATCTATCATTATCAAGACAGGATTAAAAGCTCTTATTTACGTGTTTATTTCCTGTTTCTGGCATGTGGGGGGAAGTAACATCCCGATGGTGGGGCAGAACTGGGAAAGGGCAAGCATCTGAAGACCCCCTCCTCTCATATGTGACATAGGTCTGTAATCCCAGAAACAGAAAAGTGGTCCAGTTCATCTCCACTGCAACAGCAAAAATGAACTTTCAGCCAAGACAAGGCATCTGATTTCTGGGCATTGCCTGCTCCCTACAAAAGACAGAAATCGCCAAGCAATGTCTGTCACCAGCCAGGTGTTCTGTTCCATGAAAGATGCAGAGTCTGCAGGATGGTGTAACCTATGTACTTATGGACTTGAAAGGGCACATGAAAACGGCCTCATGGGAAAGAAGCGTCACAAGGCGACAGAGTGGCGTAACACCACCAGCACCAGCAGTAAGAACTGTGTTCCCAGGGACATTGTCAAGACCATGAAAAGACAAGCTAGAGAATGGGAGAAAAAGTTTGCAAATCATATATCTGGGGGACTTCCCTGATGGTCCAGTGGTTAATACTCTGTGCTTCCAATGCAGGGGGAGTGGGTTCGATCCCTGGTCGGGGAACTAAGATCCCACATGCTGCGGTGTGGCAAAAAAAAAAAAAAAGCCATATATCTGACAAAAGACTTGTATCCAGAACATACAAAGAACTCTGAAAATTCAACAACAAGACAATAAACAACCCAATTAAAAATGGGCAGAGGATATTCATGGACATTTCTCCAAAGAAGATATACAAATGGCCGATAAGCACATGAAAACATGCTCAACATCATTTTTCATCAGGAAAATGCAAATCAAAACCACAGGTCAGGTCCACCTCACACCCACTAGAACGGCTAGAGTCAAAAAGACAGCAAAAGCAGCTGGTGCTGGTGAGGACGTGAGACACGGGGACCCTCATGCACCTGCTGGGGGTGGAAAGTGTGCAGCTTCTGTGGAAACATTAGTGGCTCTCCAAAAAGTGAAATATAGAATTACCCTGTGACCCAGCAATTCTACTCCTTCGTGCACACCCCGAAGAACTGAAACAGGGACTTGAACAGACCGCATTCACGGCAGAATGTGTCCACCACGTTCATGGCAGCCAAACAGTGGAAGCAACCCAAGTGTCCAGCAGATGAATGGGTACACTAAATACTGGGACACTCTCCAGTTACTAAGAGGAAAGAAGTTCTGACACCCGCTACAACATGGATGAACGTCGAGGACATTATGCTGAGTGAAATGAGCAAGTCACAGAAGGACAAGTGCTGCGTGATTCCCCTGATATGAGGCTCCCCGAGGACTCAGGCCCATAGAGGCAGAAAGAGTAGAGTTTACCAGGGGCTGGGGGTGGGGAACAGGGAGTTAGTGTTTAATGGGGACAGAATTTCTGTTCAAATGATGAAAGAGTTCTGGGAACAGACCTTGGTGATGGTTACACAATACTGTGAATATACTTAACGTCACTGAATTGTACACACAAAAGTGGTAAACTTTATGTTATGTATATTTTACCAGAATTTAATAAAAAGCACTAAAAAAAAAAAAGAGATATCATGAATTAATAGCAAAAAAGCACAGTTTGTGACACCAGCACCATCATGCCAGGGCTGAACTGCACTGGAGTTTGCCCAGCTGTCCTGCCTCCCCAGGAAGCAGTGCGTTGGCCGAGTACCTGGTGACAACCCGTCCCTGAGGAAGGCAGGGCCAGGGGACGCCACTGGCCAAGGCATCTAGAGTCACAGTGATGACGAGCACACGTTCCTGCCACAGCTTGGTGCCTGGGTTTAACACGGGTCCCGGGACTCGCCCAGCACGTCCTGGGAGGGCAGAGACGGGGCCCTGCGCATCGACGGCCAGCACTGCCCCTCATGCCCTGGACTCTCCTCTCTCATCTACCAGGTCCTCACTGTGTGCCTTCTAGGGACACACGAGAGGTGAACCAGCTGCTCCTCAGAACAACCCCTTCCTTGCACAGAACCTGAGGCACAGAGAGGCCACAGCAGGTTCCTGGGGTTCAGTGCCACCCCAGGAGTGCCTTCAGTCGGAAGACCTACACAGTCTAGCATCAGAGGGCAGCCATACCTTCTGTCTGAGTTGTGCCACCAGGAAGCTCAGGAGATGTGCCCTGTCTCCAAGCCTCTGGAGCGCCAGTCCCGTGGATGGACCATCGACCGGCACAGCTCCTCCTGCAGAGAGAGTGATTTTTGTCAGACTCACATCTCCTAAAGCCCTGGGAACTTCCAACTGCCTGTCCTCCCTTTGAGGAGATGGACATCTGGGGCGTCCAGGGCAGAGGTGTGATCTCCTCTGCCCTCCCCTAAGGATGCCTACTGTCACTGCTGGCCTGCTGTGACGTTACGATGTTCTAAAGCTGAGTGGATGCAGCTGGGTGCCCCCAAAGACTGAGATGAGCTGCACATGAAGAACAATCCTTATGCCAAGAAAGCAGGAGTCTTCGTGGAGAAAAAAATCCAACCTTACCAGCTAGTGTCTGGTAGAGGCCAACCTGTGTAGCCTCCTGGTCGTTTGGCTGGGAATTAAGAAAATGTCCACGAACCCACAGGTCAAAGAAGAAATCACAGTGGACATTAGAAATTATTTTGAACTGATTATCATAAAAGCACTGCTTATCAAACTTAAGGAATGCATCTAATGCTGTCCTTTCAAAAGTATTTATAGCCATACAAGCTTATTTTAGAAAAGAAGGATGAAAGATAAATGAACTGAACATCCATTTCAAAAATGAGGAAAAAAAAGCAAATAAAGTAGAAGGAAGGACAGAACAAAGTCAGTATTAGATGCTGAGGAAACAGAAAACAACGTGCAATAGAGGGTGAACAAGACCAGAGGAGGTTCTTTGAAAAAGTTAAGTCCCTGGTGAGATTAAGCAGGAAAAACGGACAGAGACAATACAGCAGATGGAAAGGCTGCTACTTTAGATCCTGGGGGCTGTGAAAACGTGTGGAGAATACACTCCCCAAAGCAACTTTATGCCAAATTTTTGAATATTTAAATGAAATAGTCAATTTTCTAGCAAATTATAACATCAAAAAATGACACAGAAAAAGGAAAATCTAGATAGTCCTTTAACTATGAAAAAAACCTGAACTAAAAATTTAAAACTTTCCCACAAGGAAAACTCTATGCCCAGGTGGTTTCAAAGTTGAAGTCTATCAATTGGTTAAGGAAAAATTAACATAAGTCTAATATAAACTTTTTCAGAAAACAGAGAGATAGTGAACATATTCCAACTTATTTATGAGGCCAGAATAATCCTGACTCCAAAACCTGACGTGAACATCAAGAGGAAGGAAAATTATAGGCCAATCTTACCCATAACATAAATGTGATAATTCTCAATAAAATATTAGCAGAAGAATATATCACATGTTGAGTTTATTCCAGAAATGCAGGGTTGGTTTAACATTCAAAGACCAATTTAAGCTTCTCATTCTGAACAAAATGAATGTGTGTGTGCATTCCACCCCACTCCTCTCCCTGATTACAGCTGAGAGCCCTGGACACCACACACCAAGCCAGATGAGGAGATTCTGAACAGGGAGGAAAAGCAGGCAGAGAGGCTGGGGACCTTGGAAATCAAAGGATGACCCACAGTGAGTTCCTGGAGTTTTTTCCTTCCTGTATTTCCCAACTTTGGTGCTGGAGCAGCCACGACTCAGAGACACCACTGAGCTAAGACCAGGAACCAAGGCCCAGGAAAAGGGAGACCCGCACGGCTGCTGGTAAAACAGAAGCAGAATTAAAACAGACTCAAAGACAATCAGGATTTCATGACACGACACTCAAATGTCCATGACAGAATCCAAAATTACTCATTATATCAACAACAAGGAAAATCTTACCTTGAATGGAAGAAGACAACAACAAGAGGACAGATTAAAGTGACTCCAACAGGCAATCTGATACACTCTCAAAACAGATGAATATTGGAAGTTTCAGCAAAGGGATAAAAAATACAAAGCAAAACAAAATGGAAATTTCAGAACTGAAACCATAATAAAAATCTCACTGTATGGGCTTGATAGGAGAATGGAGACAACAGAAGAAAGAACTGGTGAACTTGAAGATATAATAGAAATTCTCCAATCTGAACAATAGAGAAAACAGATTGGAAACAGACAGACAGACAGAGCCTCAGTGACCTGTGGGAGAATAACAAAAGATCTAACACTCTTGCCATTGGAGTCCCGAAAGGGAAAAACAGTGTGGAGCTGAAAAAAATACTTGAAGAAATAATGGTTGAAAACTTCTCAAATTTGGCAAAAGACACATCTTCAGATTCAATGTCAAAAGGATAAGCCAAGGAGATCTGTGCATAGACCATCATAATCAGATTTCTGAAACTAAAGACAAACTCTGAGAGCAGGCAGAGAGAAACGATTCACAGGCGATGGACTGCTCATGAGAAATGATCATCTGATTTCTCACCAGAAGAAAATGCTATATTTTACGTGCTGAAAGCAAAGAACTGTCGACTCATAATTTTATACCAGTGAATATAACTCTTCAGGGATGAAGGTGAGATAAAGACATCTCAGATGAAGAAAAACAAAGAGTTTGTCACCAGCAGTCTTGCTGTAAAGGAAGTGTTGAAGGAAGTGCTTCAGACAGAAGGAGCCTGGAATCAAGAGTCATGGAGAGGGGAAGGATCCGGGAAAAGAATGGACCACACCTTTCCTCCTGAGTTTTTAAAATTATGTTTGACAGTTGAAAGCAAAAACGAGGATCCTGTCTGATGTGGTTCTCGATGTACAGAGGGCTGGTATTTGCGACAATAAAGGGGGTGATGGGGCCTGACTGGTGGTAAGATCCCCACATTCCACTTGAAATTGCAGTGTTGACACGAGTTGACTGTGATAAGTAAGGATATTGAAATCCCTAGAGCAAACACTAGAAAAAGTACCCAAGGAGATACACTGAAAAGCTAGATTAAAGTGGAACACTAAAAAATGTTCAAGTAACCCAGTGGAGGCAGGAAAGAGGAAACCGACGGATAGAAAACAAATGTGAAATGGCAGGCTTGGCTCCTGACACGGCAACAATTACAGCAAGTGCAAACACTCTAAACCCATCCGCTAAAGTATCACAAGATGGATTTCAAAACTGCCTAGCTACATGCTGCCTACAAGAAATTCATTTCAAATGCAATGATGGAGGTGGGTTAAAAGAAAATGGACGATAAAGATATACATGCAAACGCCAATCAGAAGAAAGCAGCACTGGGACTTCCCTGGTGGTCCAGTGGTTAAGACTCTGCGCTTCCAATGTAGGGGGCTAAGGTTCTATCCTTGGTCAGGGAACTAAGATCCAACATGCTGTGCAGCATGGCCAAAAAAGAAGAAGAAGAAAACTGGATTGGCTGAATTAGCATCAGACAGTAGACTTGAGAGGAAAGAAAATTACCAGGATGAAGAGGAACACCACATAATGATATACAGGTGAAATCACCAAGAAAACATAAACGTATATACATTGAACAACAAAGCTTCAAAATACATTAAGCAAAAACTGATAGAATCATGACAAAAAAATACAGATTTGTATTACAATAGGAATAGGAAGAAACCTTAATCTGACAAAAAAAAGAGTAAATATTAAACTTTAAAGTGTTGAAAGTTTTTCTCTGGGATCAGGAAGAAAGCCAGCTATGATCAACATCATACTAGAGATTCCACTCAGGGGAAGTAATACAAGAGAAAAAAGTAAAAGCTATCAGCACTGGAAAAGACAAAAATAAAACGTCCACTATTTGGGACAAGATGACTAGGTAGGCAGAGTGTCCTGCCTGCCCCTTCCTTTCCTTCCTGAATAATGGACCCATAAATGATCAGACGGGCGGTGGCAGGAGGTTACCCTCTGTGGGCGATCTGCCTGGGGACTGGCGGCCCAGCAGGCAAAGGTGTCAGGGTGGAGGGCAGCCTGGTTTGGCTGTCAGAGCCCGGGAGGGCCTGGGTAAAAGGGTGGGGCCTCCATGTGGGGAAAGGCCTCCGTGCTAGGGAGGCTGCTCACACCCAGGAACTGGATAGAAGAAGTAATGTACTGAGGAGGTCGGGAGCCAGGCTTCTCGTTGTCGGAAAAGGAAGTTAAGAGTAATGAAAGTGGAGACTAGAACAAGCCTGTGATCCTGGACCAACCACAGAGGAACAGACTGGTGGATAAGTTTGTCTTAAATTAAGACCTTCTGATGCCTCAGGAGATGGATCCAAAAAAATATTGCTAAGATTTATGGCAGGGTGTTCTGCCTATGTTTTCTTCTAGGACTTTTATGATTTCTGGTCTCACATTTAGGTCTCTAATCCATTTTGAGTTTATTGCTGTATACGGTGTTAGGGAGTGTTCTAATTTCATTCTTTTACATGTAGCTGTCCAGTTTTCCCAGCACCACTTATTGTAGAGGCTGTCCTTTCTCCATTGTATATTCTTGCCTCCTTGGTCATAGAATGAAATTTTGCCATTTGCAACAACATGGATGGACCAGGAGGGCATTATGCTAAGTGAAAGAAGTCAGACAGAAAAAGACAAATACTGTATAACACTTATAAGTAGAATCTAAAAAATACAACAAACTAGTGAATATAACTAAAAAAGAAACAGACTCACAGATACAGAGAACAAACTAGTAGTTACCAGTGGGGAGAGGGAAGGGGGAAGGGACAAGATAGGGGTGGGGGATTAAGAAGTACAAACTATTATGTATAAAATAAATAAGATTCAAGGATATATTGTACAGGAGATGGCCAACTGTGCTGTGTCAGAAGGAACCAGAGCAACGGCTCTCACGACTGCTATTGGGAGAGGAAATGGTGTGAATAGTCTGGAGAGAGCCAGAAAAGAGTACACACGTGTAATTCCACTTATATGAAAACTCAGCCACAGGGTGAGGAGTCAGGACAGTGGCTGGCTCAGGAGGACAAGGGGCTCCTGGGATGACACATTTGTAACAGCTCCTCGGGCTGTGTTACTAGACAGTCACCGGAGCACACGACATGACACAAGGATTCTCACCGGTGGTGTCTGTGGAGGCCAGGACACTGGGTTGAACGCCAGCACAGGACGAGGTCGTCTTCGAAGCATCTAACACATCTTCTAGTTGTTCCTCCAATGTTTTAAATTTATGCTTTAGAGTTCGCATTTCTGCTTCAAGGGCCAGAACATAATCTTCCAAAAAAAACCCAGTAAACACACAGGCACATGCGTTTATACTCTCACCCTTTATCTACCACCCTTGTCCTCCCCTGCCCGACCCTCATGACTGTCCCGTGCTGTCTGATACCCTCCCCTCCAGAGATCAGCTCGCCATGCTCTCCGAGGGGGCCCCATGGTCAGGAGCGAACACTCACCCTCCTTCAGTCCTGCAACCCTTGACGCACCGATACAACCATATCATCCTGGGTGCAGCTGTCTCAGGTGCTGCCCCTCCACTCACCACCCCTCGAGACCCTGCTCCAAATAGCGTGGGGCTGGGCGACCTTTGGGGCCTGGATGCTCCCCTGAGGAAGGGCCTGCTCCCCTAGCCCCACCTGCCCACTCCAGGAGAGCACAACGCGAACCCAGTCCCTGGTCCAAGTCTCGCTCTGGTTTTTAAGTGCGTCAAGTGTGTATCCTTCACTTTTTCCCTCCACTTACCAATAAAAAGTTTTTATTGTATATAAAATATTTGACTTAAGACCCTTCCCTTGGAGGAAAAGCAGCTGTCATACTTTGAAGTAATCTATCAAAGGGGATGTTCATTTGTAAGACGCCAAGTGAAGCCTATTTTTTTTTTTTTTTTTTTTTTGCGGTACGTGGGCCTCTCACCGCTGTGGCCTCTCCCGTTGTGGAGCACAGGCTCCGGACGCACAGGCTCAGTGGCCATGGCTCACGGGCCCAGCCGCTCCACGGCATGTGGGATCTTCCCAGACCGGGGCACGAACCCGTGTCCCCTGCATCGGCAGGCGGACCCTCAACCACTGTGCCACCAGGGAAGCCCATCCATGGGCACTTCTTAAACAACAATCTTTATACTATTTCTTGCCTTCCCTCTCTCCCATGAGAACCAGTATGGACAGAGCACCATCTCCCAGCCTGTTCTCTGGGTGATACGTGGGTACAGGGACCCTCCCTACGCATTACTATTTGCCCTACAGAAACAGAACCTTGTTGTTTATGCCTCTGCATTTGGTCTCAAGACCAATGATTTTTATCAGTTTCCCTAGTTAGGGGTTATCAACTAGGGAGGTTTTGCCACCCAGGGGACATTAGGCAACGTCTGAGGACAGTTTGGTTGTGACAACTTGGGGGGAAGATGCTATTGGCATCTAGAGGGTAGATACCAGGGTTATTGCTCAATACCCCTGCCATGCACAGGACAGTCCCACTGTGCAGAGGACGGCCCCACTAGAGAAAAGCAGCTGTCATACTTTGAAGTAATCTATCAAAGGGGATGTTCACTTGTGAGACTCCAAGTGAAGCCTATTGTGGACCCAGTAGAGATGGCACCTCATCCTCCCTCTCCCTCTCTCCCTCTCCCCTTCGCTCACCAGGTACCGCTGAACCAGCAGCTGCCTTCGGGTCAGCCTGGTTTGTTTGTGAGGTCTCCCCTCCTAACTGGGCAGAAGGAAGAATCTGATCACTTAGAGTTTCCATTTCTTTCCTCATCTGTGCAATAACATTTCGCAAGCTTGTGTTCTGCTCTTGCAGCTGCTGGATCACAGTAGATGGAAAACTTTTGCTTATTTCTTCTTCTTGATGCCTTACAAGCATCTGTCAAATACGGGAAGAAAAAAAAAAAAGAAAAAGAAAGAAAAGAAAATGGTTACAGCCAAGAACCAATGATTCCCTTGTGCACTGAGGCCGGCTGCATCTGCGTCCACCTGCCCCCGTCCCTGCTCCCCGTCATCTGTCCTGGAGGTGGGTAATGTTGACAGAAGTATGAAAAAACTTTTTCTTCTGTGTTTCATAAAGACAAGACCACTGTTTTTCAAAGATAACTTTTATTGAGAAATTTGGGGACCCTTCCTTTTTAGTCAGAAGCCCATCATTCACCCATTAGAGTGGCAGTTATAAAAAAGACGATAACAAGTGTTGCTGAGGATGTGGAGAAAATGGAATCCTTGTGCACTGTAGAAGGTAAAGGTACGCAGTGGCTTGTAAATGTAAAATGGTGCAGCTGCTGTGGAAAACAGTCTGGCTGTTCCTCAACAAAGTAAACACAGAGCTATTATACGACCCAACAATTCCACTCCTAGGTATAGACCTAAGAGAACTGAAAACATACATACACACAGAAACCTGTACACATGTTTGGAGCAGCATTATTCATAGTAGCCAAAATGGAAATACTCAAATGTCTACCCACAGATGATGGATAAACAAAGGGTAACACTGTGAAACATGACTCAGCCAGAAAAAGGAACAATGTTCTGACACACGCTACAACATGGAAGGACCATGAAGACATCATGCTAAGTGGCAGTCAAGGACTTTAAAGCAGTTCCCATAAATATACTCCAGGATTTAAAGAAAAACATGAACATAAAAAGAGAAACGGAAGATACCAAAAAAGAACCAAATAGCATCTACAGAGATGGAAAATATACTGTCTGAAGGAAAAATTCACTGGCTAGGATGGGATTAAGAGCAGATCAGACACTACAGGAGAAAAGATGAGGGAACATAAACACACAGCAGTAGAAAGTATTCGAACTCAAGCACAGAGTGAAAGAGACCAAAAAGAACAAATAACAACAGAGCTCTAGTGACCACGGAATAATGTGAAGCAGAAACACACTAACCCAGATCATTGAGGGGGACAGAAAAGGATTCAGAACTTGTTGGCAAAAAAATTTCCAATTTGAGGAAAACGTAAGTCCACAGATCCAAGAAGATCAAGAAACCTGAAGCAAGATAAACACACAAAAAGTTATACCAAACAGCACATCATGGTCAAATTGCTAAAAAACAATGATAAAGAAAAACTCTTAAAAGCGACCAGAGGAAAAAAAGACACATTATGTTCCTGCAGAAGAACAAATACAAGAAACTGACAACTTCTCATGAGAACCAATGAAATCTAGAAGATAATGGAACTATATGCAGAAAGAAAATAAAAACCTGTCACCCTGAGTGAAAATCTCCTTTGAAAATGATGGCAAGAGAGACTTCTGCCTTTGACCATGAGGGATTTGCTGCTACGGGACTTGCCCTCTGGCTGTAAACAACTAGAAAACCAGACAAATTCTATGAAACCACTGTCTTCAGACACTGCCTGTACAGAACTGGGTGCCAGAGAGGAGGGGACAGAGGAAGGGAGCCCGTGGTTTGCCTAGTTCTCTGCGTCTGGGCCCAGCACAACCCAGCCCTCTGTGGATGTTTGCCTGCAGAAAGCACCAGGCTCCTCTCCTCCACGGCTGCCCCATCAGCACACTAACCTCCAAATGGGCAGGAAGGAAGGTCCTCCCCTAGGAAGCAGCACATGCTCACTCCCCACTCAAGGCCCAGGTCCCATCCTGAGACTTTCTGACTTTCCGACTGGTTGCTGGATCCTGCTTACCAGCAAAGCAAACCAGCCGGGCTCGCGAGGACCTTTGACCAGTCCTGCTGAGAGAGACCAAGACTATGTGAACACAACACGAGCTTCTAACAAGTTCAGAGACGCACAAACATGCCCATGCAGCATTACAAGAATCTGTGCAAATGATCCCAACGGCCATTAGTGAGAGAACGATGACGTAAACCGTGGCATGGTCATACAATAAAGTACACAACCATTTAAGTTGCATTTTTGAAGAATTTTATTTTTTATTCATGCTCTTTTTAGCTGCGTTGGGTCTTTGCTGCTGCATGCAGGCTTTCTCTAGTTGTGGCGAGTGGCGGCTACTCTTCGTCGTGGTGTGTGGGCTTCTCATTGCAGTGGCTTCTCTTGTTGCAGAGCACGGGCTCTAGGTTCGTGGGCTTCAGTAGCTGCAGCACGTGGGCTCAGTAGTTGCAGCACACAGGCCCTAGAGCACGCGGGCTTCAGTAGTTGTGGCGCATGGGCTCTAAGCGCACAGGCTTCAGTAGTTGTGGCGTGTGGGCTCAGTAGTTGCGGCTCACAACTCTAGAACGCAGGTTTAGTTGTGGCGCACAGGCTGAGCTGCTGCGTGGCATGTGGGATCTTCCCGGACCAGGGCTCAAACCCGTGTCCCCTGCATTGGCAGGCAGATTCTTAACCACTGCACCACCAGGGAAGTCCTGCATTTTTAAAGAATTTTAATGATGTGAGAAATATTTATGGAAACTTTAAAAAAGAATTAATGTTATATAGCATGACCTGAGCTATATGAACACAGTATGGGCACAGGAACACACATGAGATATAGAGATACAGGTGGCTGGAAGGAAATACACTAAAACGTCTGAGTGTCGGACAGACACGATACGTTCTCTTCTCTGTTCCAAGCGATGCTGGCTCACATCTGCAGAGCTCACATCCACCCACAGTGGGCCAAGCGTTCCCAGGGGTACCCCTCACACAGATGAGGAAACAGAGATGCGAGCTCTCGGGGGCCACCCGACCACACACAGCCACATGCTGATGACAGACACGCACACGGCCTCCACGGGTCTGACCCGGCCACGACGCTCAGCCCTGGCATTGAGCAAGCACGTGACACACGCTGTCACCAACTTCCCACTAAGGCACCACGGGGGACCCAAGAGGTCCGGCCAAGGAGGAGTTGAGCTGGGGTGAACCTTGGGCCCACCTGACTCCAGAGAACACTGTGCTGAACTAGAATTGTAAAATTTCTGCAGTGGCCACATATTACTTTTACTTTCAGAATGAAGCTATTTCTTCTGTTACTCACAGTTCCCAGCTTTTCAAGCCACCACTGGCTCTGCTATGCACCTGCTCTGTCTCCTTCCAGCCACTGCTCTGGCCCCACTGCTCCTGCTGCAAACACCCGACCTCCCTCTCTGTGCCCACTGGGCCATTTCCCACCTTCTCCATGGCAGAGCCTCAGGCTGCTCCCACTCAGGCAGACAGCAGTGTGGTCGGGGCCGTGAGTGTGCAGCTGGCTGGTGCTACTCACATTCTCCCTCTGCCACCTGTGGGGCAGGGACCACTCCTCTCAGGTCCTCAGCTTCCTTGTCCTGAACAACAGGATCCACCTCAAAGCCGCAGTGCAGCCCAGTTGCAAGGCGAATCCTCTGCCCCTGCGGCCGTGGCTGCGTCTCTGCCCTGGTAATGCCTGCCCGACGGTGGTGCCTTGGTCTCCGTGGGGTGATCACCACGGCTCTGCTGAGGCTCCGTGCTCGGAACTAGTACCAAGCGAGGGAGAAGATGTGGCCAAAGCCTAGAGCCTGTCCATCTGAACAGTGGAATCTGTGATGGGCTCATCGCTCCCCAGGAAGCACAGTGTCTTGCTCCCTGGCGGCCTCTATTTCTGACTTCGGTGTATGACAGATTCCCTCACTGCTCCTACCTTAGTGTTTGCCAAGGGCTCAGCCCTGCAGAACTCAGCACCAACTGCCCGCCCACACCTGCCGCTTTACCAGGTGGTCACATCCTTAACCTGTTCCCAGCATTAAGGCCCCCTACAGGAGCACAGGTGTTTTGCTATTAGCTGCAGGATTCAAAAAACTTCATTCCATTGGGTCAGCCGGGAACTTGTGCAGCATTCTGCCCCACCCTGGGTCCTGGCTTGGAAGCCACATCTCTGTCAAGACTGCCACGCCAGCTCACATTCGCAGGTGCCTAGGATGCTGCTCCGCCGCATCTCCCCACTCTGCATGGATGGGCGGGGCACTTGTTTCTGACCCCTAGACCATTTCTAAAGCCCCTGTTTACTTAACAAGGCAACCAGCCATGAGAGGCCTCCCTGACCACCCGAGCTGGTGCTTGGAGACACATGTCTTCTTTTAATTACCAGCCTGGGGGGAAAATACAACAATGAAAAATTGGGGTGGGGGCTCATTGATTAAAAAAAAAGAGGCATTTGCTTTCTCTATGTGTCCTAGGGAAGGCACCCATGCAGAGACCACCTGCTGTGAGCCCCCAGGACCACAGGTGACTCTGGAGGCTGGGGTCAGCCCCACCTGGGAACACCAGTGCTCCCAAACCTGACCACTGGCTGACGGTGAATCTCCCCAGGGGCTTGTCAACAGACTCGTCTTTCGGAGCTCAACCCCTAAGGCATCGGGCCTAGTAGGTCCTGCTGGGACTCAAGAGGGGTGTGTTTCGGAAGCTCCTGAGGTTTCTGAGGGTGGCCAGATTGGGGGCTGTGCAGTCACCTGTGCAGAGAGGACAGTCACTGCCCACATAGCATGGCTGGCAGAAGCCCACCTCCACCAGGTGAACGCTAGGTCAACCCAGCACCAACTGCGGGCAAGTGCCAGGCACAGAGGTCGCAGCGAGGCCCCAGGGCCACCTTCCACCCGCAGTGAGCACGAATCCTCCCAGCAAGGACACATGAGCTACGACCTGCACTCCCGCAGATAGGCACAAGCAGGGCTGGGTGGACGCCTGGAGACGCAGCTTGTGCCACATCCATCCTCCCTCTGCAGGTGGACAGCTGGACAGGTGGGAAGAGGCCAGCACCCCTGGAAACATCCTAAGGATTTCAGTGGCTCCATTATCCTGGACGACCGGGTAAGTGACCTTCCACAAATGGACAGAGGTCAGACTACTGAAACAATGGGCCATTGAACCAGGAAGGTCATGTCTGAGACAGGCTCGGGCTGAGCTCTGCTGGTGCAGCTCTGGAAGGCACTTCTCCTTGCGGGTTGCCCAGATTTCCTAGCAGCCCGGTGACAGGGCTTCCCTCTGGAGCCCTGGATGGACGGGGGACAAGGCAAGAGGCAAGGCAAGACATGGGCTGTGTTCACTGTAATGCCAAACTCTAGGCCTGCGCCAAGGGTCCCCCTCAGTGGAAGCGAATGCCCCCTCTGCAACTCTGAGTCAAATCCTACCACTTCTGGCTTCAGGTTTTACTGGCGCTAGTCCTTGGCACCCCTCGGCCCGCAGACACAAGGCTCCGCTCTCCGCCTCTGTCGTCACATGGCCTTCCTCCTGTGTCTGTCTTCATGTGTGTTCTTTTCTAAGAACACCAGTCCTATTGGGTTGGGCCCACCCTGCTCCCATGTGATGTCATCTTAACTAATTCCATCCATAAAGACTCTATTTCCAAGGAAGGTCCCATCCTGAGGCACTGAGACCGGAACATGTCTTTTGGGCCCACCATTCAATCCGCAGGCATCCCACAGTATCAGGCTCTGGAGAGTGCCAAGCAGTAAGGAAGTCTGTGCTTTATGAGAGGAGCGGCCGTCGTCGCATGTTGCATGGCTTACTCACCACGTATGAAGAAGTGTGTTTTGGGATAAAGCTCTAACCTCTTGGTTCTTTGCGCTACTGTCTGCCCCAGTGCAATATCTGAATTTGGGTTTTTTTGATATTTCAGATGCTGAAGATACAAAGATTGAGTGTAGACTCCCATTAACTGGTTGAGCTCAGCCTCACCCTTGTTTGTGCAAACAGTCATTTTAAAAGAAATAGGGCTGAAAAGACCTGCCGCCAGTGCTGGTTCTATTTGGCATTTTTTCCCTCTGGCTGGGGGAGTGGGTGTCTCCAAGGGGCGTGGGAGGAAGAGCCATGGGGAGGCTCAGCAGGAGGTGGCCCCTCACCTGCGCCTCCTCCTCAGGGTGGAGCCCGTGTGTCCGCAGCGCCTGCACAGCCTGGTCTCTCTCTCGGGTCACGGCCTTCAGCACCACCTCCTGGCCACACAGCACCCGCTCTGTCTCCTGCAGCTTGGCAGCAACCTGGGGAAAACACAGACTCAGTTCATCCTGGGAGGATTACAAGGAAGCAGTGCCACCTTCAGGGTCCAGACCAGCTCCCCATCCTGCGGGGAAGCAGACAGCAGACGCTCGGGTGAGAAACCCCAGCAAATACGTGGCCATCAGAGCCGGCAGAGCACAGCAATCGCTGATCCAGCTCCAGAGGCAGCTGCACTGGCCATTAGAGAAAGGCTATGGGCAGAGACTCATCACTTTAAGTCCTGTTGTTATAAATCAGACTGCTCAGTGAGGCTGAGTGTTTTCAAATGCAAAGGATAACTCGGTGAGAGCCCAAGCCGGGCTCCATGCACCTCAGTGGACGTTCCCAGCCCTTCCTCCTGCAGAAAGAAGTCAGACAGCCCTGGGGAGCAGAGACCTGGTCTCTGGCTGTGGTTAGGCCCTGAATCAAGTCCTCAGCCCGCCGGTACTGCTCCCGCTCGGCACCCTCGCAGCGGCGCTGCCAGTCCAGCTCCAACTGCACCTTGTCACGCTCCAGGCTCTGCTCCCTCTCTACTGCCAGAGACAGCTGCTGTTTGTACCTGCGGGGGTGAAAACCACCAACTTGAACGTTTTCCTGAGGTCCCTTTGGGCTGTGACATAGCTGAGGTGGGAGGCGCCCCTCCTGGGGCCCCAGGCCAGCCGTGTTCACGGGCTTGGCTTACACCTTCACACAGGCCCAGGTTCAGAGAGGAGCAGGCGGCCGGGTCTCCCAATACCGAGAAACCCAGCACTGTGGAAGAGGAGGTCAAACTCAGTAAGAGGAGACAGGAAGAAAGGCAGCAAACTCAGACAAACAAGAAAATGGTTGCACTAGAGAAACGCGAGAGGGTTCACAGCAGAGCAGACAGAGCTCGATAGTCAACAGTGCGCTGAAAGGTCAAACAGAACTCAGAAGACCAGCGTCCATCTACCAGGGGGTTGGGAGAAATCAGAATGGAAGGAGGAAATAACCATGGAAATAGGAGGAAATCCACCATGGCTGGAGAGGGATATGCACCTTCTGCCTGAAAGCTTCCGAGTGCTGGACAGGAGGGGCTTCAGACGCCATGGGGAAGGTACAGACCGCCGGCTGGGATGGAAGAAAAGTGCGTGGGGGAGTGAACCGGACCCGCACGAGGCTTCTCGTCAGCCACACAGAGCAACGCAGGGTGAAGGTCGTTGGAAGGACTCTCCCCCGGTGGGCAGGGCTGTGACCAGGGCGGGATGGTAACACCTTCTGCAGGGGACACCGAGTAAGGCTCCATCCTGCCCACTTCAGGGAGATTCTCCTGCTGGCCGTGCTGAGAGGACCACGTGGCCAGGACAACCCCGGCTGACAGCCGGAAAGGAAACAGACATCAGACCCACAGCCGCTGGAAATGACCTCCGCCGACAACCTAGATGAGCTGGTAAGGGGAGCCCGAGCCTCAGAAGAGAGGGCCGCCCGGCCGACACCTTGATTCCAGCCGAGTGAGACCCACTTACTTGGGGGACCTGGCTGCCACAGAAACAGACCCTCAACAGAGGTGATGTAATTAGCAGAAAAATACTTTAAAACAGCTACTGTAAATATGTTCAGAGATTAAAGGCAACCACACACATAACGAGGAGAGAAATGAAAAGTGAAATGTCTGAAATAAAAAACCCACCAGCCTTCCTGGCAGATGAGACCTTGTGGGGAAAGCCTTAGAGGCTATCAAAAGAACATCAAATTAAAGCAAAGGAAACAGGAGAAAGACAATAGTAAGGATAAGAGCAGGTATCAGTGAAACTGAAAAACAACTGAGAAAAATCAATGAAACCAAATGCTGGCTCTTTGGAAAGATGTGTAAAATGGATAAATCTCTAGCTAGACTGATGGAGAAAAAAAGAGACAATACAAGTCGCCAGTATCAAGAAGGAGAGGGGACACTGCTACAGATTTTACACATATTAGAGGGACAATAAAGAAATACTATAAACAATTTTATGCCAATAAAGTCAACAATTAGATGAAATGGACAAACTCATTGAAAGATACAAATTACCAAAAGCGACACACACACAAAATAGAAAACCTGAATACTCAAATAAATATCCAAAGAAACCAGACACAAGAGACTATGAACGGTAGGATTCTACGCAGATGAAATTCCAGATCAAGAGAAACCCACAGTGACAGAAAGCATCCTGGCAGGTGCCAAAGTGTGAGGGGACTTCGGGCTTCGGGCAACGGAAGGGTTTTATATCCTGACTGTAGTAGTGGTTATACTGCATATTTATGTACATATTCGTTGAGATTCATCAATTGTACAGTTAAAATTGGTACATTTATTATATTTCAATGATTTCTCAAGAAAGAGAATACTATCTTTAGCCAAGTGCTCATTCCAACTGATAGGAAAAGACACTAACAGTCAGACAAAAGACCTCAGAGGTGATTCCTGACACAGGACCAAATGGCACACACACTTTTACAGCCCTGGTGCAGACCGAGAACCGCGCTCTGTGGGAAAGGCCTCCTCTGACCACCCACCCCGCTGCCCCATCTTCATCCCCTTCCCCCACCACATGGTACCTTCCAATGTCCTGCTGGCATCTGGCCAGCTGTGCCTTCAGCTTCACCTCTTCTTCCTGCAGCGACTGAACCTGAAGGTCTTTGGAGATCATCTCCTTGGAAAGTTGAGCAATCTGGGCATCCCAGCCGGATTTTAGAGCTGATGCATCTTCCCGAAGTCTAAACAAAGAAGGGAAGCTACGTGAATGGGGGCATGGTTCTCACTCGAGCTCTCTTTTACAACAAATACACACACACACACATGCACACAGCCCTCAAAGGAAATGCTACAGATCAGGGTCTCTTTCACACTCATCAGGGCAGAGACTACCTTGCCTAGATTAAGAAATGGTCCTACCCAAGAAGAAATATACACCCTTCCCTCCCACCAACCCAAGCATCGACTAACACCTGCAGAATGCCAAGCCCACGCCAGGTATGCGGGGAAATGTGTGCCAGGGCGTGTCTCTCGGAGCCAATGTTTGTTTTTTTTTTTTGCGGTACACGGGCCTCTCACTGTCGTGGCCTCTCCCGTTGCGGAGCACAGGCTCCGGACGCGCAGGCTCAGCGGCCATGGCTCACAGGCCCAGCCACTCCGCAGCATGTGGGATCCTCCCGGACCGGGGCACGAACCCGCGTCCCCTGCATCGGCAGGCGGACTCTCAACTACTGTGCCACCAGGGAAGCCCGAGCCAACGGTTTTGAACCAGTGCCATCTGACTCACCTGGGCACCCCTTGCCATGCCCGGCATAGCCCTTCCACATAGAGATATTGAACACATATCTCCAAATTGAACAGCAAGATAAGGTTCTACAGAAACCCTTTACATTCCTTGGTAGAATCACCAAAAATCTGATAAATCTCCCAAGAAGAAAAACTTTAGAAAAAACACCTAACGATATTGACTAGAGTAGCCATGATATTAACCACACAAAGCTCGCAGGGTGGTCACCCTATTTGCAGCCCTGGCCTGTTTCCCTCCTAATCTGCACTCAGCATGCTGTGGGGTAAATGCTGTGATCACTCACTGGCCACTGCCCAGAGCCACAGGCCCACAGGTGGGCCACGGAGTGCGGTGCAGAGGTGGACGAGCCGTGGGAAGGCAAATGGCTGTCAGCCGATAAGGCCTTGGATCAAAGTCCCGAGTGCAGCTGCCCTGAGCCTCAGACAAAGCTCCATCCCAACGTGGGCAGAGATGGGAAGGAGAAGGGAGCAGGTTCCCTCGTGGGAAGCTTCTTTAAACATTTCAGCTTAAACAGGCCTAAACGTCAAGGCCGGTGTGCTGGGGTGTTTTTTTTAAATAATTAAAAAATATATATTTATTTTTATTTTATTTATTTATTTGGTTGTGCCAGGTCTTAGTTGCGGCTCGTGGGCTCCTTAGTTGTGGCATGTGAACTCTTAGTTGGGGCACGCATGTGGGATCTAGTTCCCTGACCAGGGATTGAAGCCGGGCCCCCTGCATTGGCAGGCAGATTCTTAACCACTGCGCCACCAGGGAAGCCCATATAATTTAAACAAATTACTTCTAGCACAATATGTCCAGAGTCATACTGACTCTTAACTAAGCTCATCCTAATATCACAAGGGGCCACAAAAAGTTGGAAACTGCAGAACTTGTCCAGCTAGGACACAGTGCTGGTGTCAGAATGGGGGCTGGAGCTGCTCCCCTCTGGGTCTGCCCAGAACCCTCTCTCTGGGGTGGCACCTGCTCTGGTCCCATGTAGTTGTCGGGGTGAGAAAGTAGCAGGCGGGGGCCCAGGAATCCATGACAAAGCTGGCCCCCAACCCAGGCACCGACCTGGAGCCAAGTCCACACGGGGAAGTGTGTGTGGGTGGGCTGGTTGCTCACAGCATCCGGGCTTCACCCTGGCTGTGCCCCACCAGACACTTAGCCCTGGAGCCTCGGGTGCCCCATGTCTGACGTGACAGAGGGAAATGAAAGGCTCTCCTCCGATCTGTGTGTTGCTGGAAGACAAAAGGACACGAGATGCCTGGCCTGCCCTGGAATTCCAAAGCACTCCTTCCCCTCTACCTACTTACTCAGTGGCAACTTTGCTCCGAGGCCGAAGGACATCGGCTAGGAGGTACTTTGTAACTGGACCTTATCTGATTTTCCGGGTGGGAAAGGGGAGCAGCTTGCGGCCCTGGGAAGTCGACTGCCCAGGCCTCACACATCAAGCAGGACATCCAATTTGAGCTTCCCATTACAGTCCCTGATCTGATCCTTTGTGATTCCATGTGTGTTGGGCTTCCCCAACTATAAGAGAAGGTGCTGGAGCTCGAGAACCATATTTTTAATTCTAACGAATTCCCACGAGATGATTTGCACACAGCAGGGGCTTTGCATGTGTCCATGAATGGGACCCTGGTTCCTGCTTCACTTTGCCAAGACCAAGCCAGCACAAGCAGGCCTGTGTTCTGGAGAGCAGAGAGCTCGCCCTCACTGAGTCCCGGCCTCTGATCAGCATTCGGACCAGCGCTGCCCAGCACTGGGCCATGGGCCACATGGGCCTCCCAGGTATGTGGCCAATCTGAATTGAGATGTGCCTTCAAAACTTAGCACCAAAAAATGCAAAATATCTCAATAATATTTTTTTCAGGCAAGTTTAGTCATCCTTCTTCAATAACTTTATATTGATTACTTATTAATGATATGCAACAACATGGCATTTTGGTTAAAGTAAGTTCCCTACATATGAACCTTCAAGTTGTGAAGTTTCAAAGACGTGAACGTGGAGCTTACTAATGAAGACCTGATGGAATTGGAGACCCAGAGAAAGGACGAAGAGAGACACGAAGATGAAGAAGTAACTGAAGAACTGAAGAGATTCACGACGCAGGAAATGGCAAGGGATTTTCTTTATTTGAGGAGGCACTGTTAGTATTTGAGGCACAGGACCCAAACGTAGAACGGTATACGAAGGTTGCAGCGGCCGTTCAGAATGCAATCCAGTGCTACCATGTCATCTATGACGAGAAAAGAAGAGCTACTACCCAGACATCACTGGGTTGTTTCTTTAAGAGGGTAGATAGAATTGAATCCAGCAAGGGACCAGAACCTGTGCCATTAAGGTCAGGTGTAGATGAAATTGCAGCTTGACCTCCATCTCCAATTGCTGACGATCCTTCAGCTCTACCACCTCCCACCTCCTCTCCCTCCTTCAGTCAGTAACTGTTCTTGCCTATTCACTTGATGCCAGCCCCTGTATGCCAGCTGTTGTACTGCACTACTGTACTTTCCAAGGTACTGTACTATAAGATTAAAAATGGTTTATTTTTTGGGCTTCCCTGGTGGCACAGTGGTTGAGAGTCCGCCTGCTGATGCAGGGGACACGGGTTCGTGCCCCGGTCTGGGAGGATCCCACATGCCGCGGAGCAGCTGGGCCCGTGAGCCATGGCCGCTGGGCCTGCATGTCCAGAGCCTGTGCTCCGCAACAGGAGAGGCCGCAGCGGTGAGAGGCCTACGTACAGCAAAAAAAAAAAAAAAAGTTTTATTTTGTGTTTGTGTGTTTTTTATGTATTATTTGTGTGAAAAGTATTATAAACCTATTGCAGTACAATACTATATAGCCTATTGTGTTAGTTGGGTACCTAGGCTAACTTTACTGGACTCATGAACAAATTGGACTTAGGAACGTGTACTCGGAATGGAACTCATCCATATGTAGGAGACTTACTGTATACTAGGTTAGATATAATGTTATTGGAGTTAATTTCTTTTTTTTTCTTTGTTAAAATATTTATTTATTTATTTGGCTGTGCCGGGTCTTAGCTGTAGCATGCGGGATCTTTTTAGTTGCGGCACGCAGGATCTTCAGCTGCATCATGAGAACTCTTAGTTGCAGTATGTGGGACCTAGTTCCCTGACCAGGAATTGAACCCGATCATTGGGAGCGTGGAATCTCAACCACTGGACCACCAGGGAAGTCCCCTGGAGTTAATTTCACCTATTTCTTTTTGCATCTTACCTCTGGGTACTAGGAGGTTAAAGTGCACCATATTCCATGTGATAGGTTATACACCTGCACAGACACACATGGTTCTCACAACACTGTCTCAGGTCATCATTTTTCTACTCTGCCATCCACAAACCAATGGTCTCAGGAAAACTATCACAAATAGGCCCAAAGAGACAGCAAGCTCACAGTATGGGCCGTTTTGTTGCTGATTTATAAAGAGTATGTCTGGGAATGAAAAGACACTGATACAGACACTAAGACTTCTCCTGGGAACCCAATGATGCTGCTTGTCATGGCCACTTGACTGGTCCCACGGAAGAACAGGAAGGAACGCAAGGGTGGACATGCCAAGAGGTGAGAGCAGAGGAAGGAGGCCTGCCTGCAGGAAGCTCTGTGCACCCGGATATTGGGATCTGAGTCGCCATCCGTGAGAAGGGCCCAGGGAGAGCCTGTCCAAACGGAGGAGAGGCTAGGGAAACACACGCCCGTCAGACTGAGCTGCCTCACCCCTCCAGCTACCGCTGCCTGCGTTTAACAGATCAAACAATATAACGTGTGACTCTAAGGAAGCTATCCTGAATAAACTTTAACTTCCTGGTATTTTATAGTTTAAGAGCCATTTTCCCCATAAGTAGAAATATAACTTGGTAGAGAATTCTCTGTAAAAAAAAAAAAGAGACAGAAATATTTTCCAAACAAAGGAGAAAAGCCAGTTGCTAACAGTAGGCTCTATAAATGACTTGTCTTAATCGTCTTCTGTAAACACAGCTTCTCTAAAGATCACTTCCTTACTGGCCGCCAAAAGGCTGAGTTCAATTATGACTTCAGTTACAGTGGTCCTTTGCAGACACCAGGCACAGTGGGACAGAGTGGCTTACATGTCATGGCCTGGTTAAGATGCCGAAAAAGAAAACTGGGTTTAAAAAGAAACTAGTTGGGAATTCCCTGCAGTCCAGTGGTTAGGACTCTGTGCTTTCACTGTTGAGGGCCCGGGTTCAATGTCTGGTTGGGGAACTGATCCTGCAAGCTGCACAGTGTGGCCAAAAAAATAAAAAATAATTGTAAAGAATGGTTTTTGATTTAAAAAAACAAAAAGAAACTAGTTTATGGAGAAACTAGAACCTTTGTGAAAAATGGTGCATCCACTGTGGAAAACAGTTTGGCAGTTCCTCAGAAAGTTAAACATAGACTTACCGTATGACCTACAGCTCCACTTCTGCGTGCACACCCAAAGAACTGAGAAGAGACTTGAGCAGATATTTGCTCACCCACAGTCACAGTAGCACTAGTCACAGCAGCCAAAAGGTGGAAACAACCAAAATGGCCATCAGCAGATAAACTGATAAACAAAATGTAGTTCTATACAAACAATGCAGCGTTATTCAGCCTTAAAAAGGAAGGAAATTCTGACACCCGCTACAACGTGGATGAACCTTGAAGCCATCACACTGAGTGGAACAAGCCAGTCACAGAAGGACAGACACTGTAGGATTGCACTCATGTGAGGTCCCTACGGTAGTCAAATTCACAGAGAAAGAAGGTAGGATGGTGGGTGTCAGGGGCTGGGAGAGGGGGATGGGGAGTTACTGTTTAATGGGCAGTTTTAGTTTTACAGAGAAAAGAGTTCTGGAGATGAATGGGGTGATGGTTGCACAACTGTGAATGTACTTAATGCCACTGAACTTAAAAATGGCTAAGATGGTAAATTTTATGCTATGTGTATTTACCACAAATAAATAAATGCACACATTCATACATACATCCACACATACTAACCACATACTTTCAAATAAAGGAAAATGAAAAAAGAGAATGGTTAAAAACAGTGACGGAGGGGCTTCCCTGGTGGCACAGTGGTTAAGAATCCGCCTGTCAATGCAGGGGACACGGGTTCAAGCCCTGGTCTGTGAAGATCCCACATGCCGCGGAGCAACTAAGCCCGTGTGCCACAACTACTGAGCGTCTGCTCGAGCCCACAAGCCACCACTACTGAAGCCCACGCGCCCTAGAGCCCGTGCTCTACGAGAAGCCACCGCAACGAGAAGCCTGCGCACCGCAACAAAGAGTAGCCCCCGCTCGCCGCCAACTAGAGAAAGCCCACACGCAGCAACGAAGACCCAACGCAGCCATAAATAAATAAATAAAATTAAAACAACAACAACAACAGTGACGGGAGCTGCAGGAGTGACTCCCAACAGCCTGTGCCCACTTCCCGTCATCTGAAACAGGTTAACTAGACAGCCAGGCCCTCAGCCGCAGCTCACTTGTCAATGGTGGCGTCCTTCTCCTTGATGGTGTCCGCCTGCCTCCACTCAGCCCTGCGGAGCTGCACCTCGAGGTTCTCGCAGTTCACCTGCAGCTCCAGGGCCCTGGCCTCTACCGCCTGCAGCTGCTCCGCATGGGCGCTCTTCGCTGCCATCAGCACCGTGTCCCTCTCCCTGGCCAGACGGTCCAGCTCCTCATGCCTGAAACACAGTGAGGTCCCCAGTGGCGCACATAGGCCCTGCTCAGGACCCCCGAGCCTAGAACCTTCCTCATTCTTCAGGAGTGCTGCATGCATGTCCTCCTGAAGGGCACTTCTGCCCTCTTCTCTCTGCTCCTCACTCCTCACACGAAAACACTGACTGAGAGATTCTCAGACGCCGGGCCCCAGCCCTCCCAAGCTCACAGTCCATGGGAGAAAGACCCCAGAACATGTGCTTCAGTGGAGGGCCACCAGCAGAAGCCGTACGGACTCAGGAAGCAGAAGGCAGGTGTAAACTGCCCTGGCCTCGCAGCTACGCCATTTGCTGGGCTGCTTTCAACCCGGAATCTGAGGCTTCCCAGAACTGGGGTCCGCGGGATGCAGGCTGCATGTCTGTTTTCGCTACAGATGCCAAACCTACTGGAACTCTGTCAACAGAACATTCGTCTCGAAAATACACTGTTGGGTGTCGCTGACAGCTGACATGATGTCCATGATGTTTTATGCTTTTATTCTATTTGGTTTCGATGAAGAGTAAAAAGCCCTAAAAAATGTAATTCCACGTGATTTCTTTCAGATTCCATCAGCATTGTTCAATGAGATGGTTAAGCCTTATTTAATCAAGTCGCATGCCGTACTTTTCATTCCAATTACAATCAATCTTCATCTTACTCACCTTGCAAACTGTTCAGTATTTTCCACATTCTAGTAGCAAAAAACTATACTCATGCCAGTTGCTGTACCCATTAGTTTCTGGCAGGATATACCTTTCTTTTTCACCAAATCACAACAAAAGTTTGATCATGACAGCTAGTGAAGGGAGGGAGTTATTTCTGCACTGCATTATTCTGTGACCATTGGTTAGTTACTTTCAAAAGGCAAACACCAAGACTCCAGGGCATGGACACCCCAGCCCATACCAAGGAACCAAGGAACACAGGTTTCTTGTCACCTTGGCTCCGTAAATAACGCCACCTGGGCTGCACATGACTCTGCGGGGTCACGCAGTGTGTGAGGACACAGAGCATCTGTGTGCACCCTGCTCCCAAGACTTGTTTCAACAGGTCAAGTATATTGGCTCTAAGTGTCAATCTGGACGGCTTTCAGCAATTCATTTTACAAGGCCTGTTCTGTAATTCTCAGTGTTTTGATGATATTCCTCCAAACACACACAAATATACTAATTTGAACTGAAAAGTGAGGGGAGACCCTGGAAGAGCAGGCCTGACCCAGCTAACAGTCCCACAGAAGGGCTGGGTCTGCCCCCAAGGGGATCTGGGAACGTTTTCCCTCCGCTGACACTGGAGCCAGAAACACTCACTTCCTCCTAAACGTCTCCTCTTCTTTTTTCTTGGTGAGCTGCACAGAGTGAAGTTTACCCTCTAAGTCTTTTATCCTGAAAGAATCAAATATTAGTGGAAAAAGCAGGTAAGGGGCTACAGCAAAGCCGGCCTGGAAAAAGCCAGCACAGGCAGATGCCTCCAGGCTGGAGTCCAAACCACGCTAAACATCAGGCGCATTGGCCACGTCCACCCACAGGGAGATGGGGAGACTCCGCACCGGGCGTCCTTCACGGCAGCCAGGTCCCTGAGTTCCCAGTCTCTGTGCTGCAGCCTATCCTCCAGCTCTGCATTCACCACCTCGGCGCTCTGCAGGGACTCCGCAGCCTTCACCCCAGCCTCTCTCAGGGCCACGAGCTCTTTGTTCAGCAGTTTAATCTTTGAAAGAGAAGAATTCAAAATAAGGATATAAGTGGAACAAACTGAGGTGCTAGAGGTAAGCCTTACCATTTTATCAGAACTGGGAGCGAAGGAAAACTGGAATTTGAGAAGCAATAGAACAGTGAGTCTCCTCACATGCTCCCACAACCTTGAGAGCACGGGCCCCGTGTGAGTCCCTGTGGTACCCCAGCACCCGACTCAGGCATGATTTGATACTGGAATCACACAGCCAGATGGAGGCTGTACGAACGTGGCTCCCTGCTGAGTGACCCCACTCAAACCCCAGCCACACACTCAATTTTTAAATAGCTTCTCTGGGCCTCAGCTTCCTCGACTATAATGCAGAGGTGATGGTACTGCTACCCCCAAATCAGTTCTGTGTATAACCTGTGATGCCCTCAAGGGGCAGGTGTTCAGGAGACCAGAACCGACTCGTGGCATGCCGGAGATGGGAGTGGGGCATGCCCTGGCTCACCCACCCCTGTCCCCTGCTCCTCTGACAGGAGTGCCCACTGCACTGTGAGGCACAGGTTGGCCCTGCACGTCCCGCCTGCTCTCTCTCCCCTGGTGCTCAGAAGTCCTCAAAGTGGCCTCGGGGCGGGGGGGGGGGGGTTGGTGGTGTCACTGTGAGGCAGCCCCAGCCTCAAGGTCCTACTCGCCCTGGGTGCATTCCTCCAGGGGAAAGTCAGGGGGACTCCCGCAGAGGGGTCAGGCAGGGCCTGGTGCTGCCCCCTGGACTGCAGCCCTGTGGGAGGCTGGCAGCCTAGAGGAGGGACCTTGCTGACCACTAGTGCAGGGTGTCGATCTTACTACTAACACCTGTCTGGACGCTGCCCAGATGTGACCAGCTGGGGCAGCAGGGCCGGGCCAGGCATCAACCCTGCTTCCTTGTCCCCGGCACAACTCCCCTCCCCTCCAGGCTGCTCCCTGTCTCGGTGCTAAAGGCCAGGAATGCGTGCTCCTCATGTGTGCCCTGGCCATGTTGGGGCCAGTGCTTTAGAGAAGTCCTGTTCATGGAGGGGAGCCAGCACCACGGCTGGGAGCACCAACTGCAGACAGGCCTCCTCCTGAAAATAGGGGGATGAGTGGCACCTCCTCACAGGCCCATTCCAAGGTGTCACGCTAGTACACAGGCCAAGGACAGAGTTTGCGGGGTGGTGGTTTCTCCTGAGGGAGGCACTTCCTCAAGGTCAGGTAACTAGACCTGGACTGGTGGCACCAGCGTTCCTCTGGCTGGGCAGAGTGGCCGTACTCCTGACCGGGGCCCTGGCAGGCACAGTGGCAAGCATGTCACCTGCATGTCACCCCCAACTCTGTGTGGCAGAGACCGAGGCCCACGTACAAAGCGGGAGGCCTTCATGTGAACCCTAACTCGCAAGGGGCTTCTCACTTCTGCTGAGGAAATGATCACAGTCCGAGGGCACCCTCTACCTTGAGCTCATGTGCTAGGACCACATTGCTCATGCTGTCAGCCTGCAGGCGGAACGCGTGCTCCCGCTTTTGCATTTCAGATTCAAACTCCTGGAGCAGCTCCTGGAACAAAAAGAGCTGGTGGTGAAAAGAGCACGGTGGGGCCAGCAAAGACCCACAGGCACGCTGAGGGCAGGAGGGACGCACAGGACCTAGCGGAGGACGAGGTCAAGAGTGGGACTGGGGCCTGTAACGCTGCATGAAGGACATCGGAGGGCTCTTGTTCCCACCGTGGACGTAGGTTTGTCCCTCTCCCCTGTGGTCCTGTGGGGTTTTGCTCTGCACAGACAGAGCTGCTAGTGGACCCACAAGGAGAGACACCAGGCCCATGAGCTCAGAAGCACCCCTCCCAGCAGTTCTGTTGTTGGTTCCGTCTATGTCTCTCTCTAAACAACACGCCACTCTTCCCTCCACGCTACCTGCCGGCTTCCTGAGCAGCCCCACCCCACACCCCCGACACGGGGCTCACGGCTCCACTCCCCTGGCTGTGTAAGCCTCACCCACGGGCTGAACCCAAAAGTCCATAAACTATTACAACAATAAAGTGATTCACGGCTCACCCAACAGCAAACGATGATGACGGTTCCCATCTCATTTCTCCCAGAGTTTTCAATTCTCTGTCTCTCTCGCCGCCCCTTCTCTGTCTGGTTGTCTCCTGTTTCCTGAGTGGTGTCTGCTTCCCAGGACACACCCCATAATGTGACCCTTTCTTCTCCTGGGGTGTGGTCCCTCCAGGGCCCTCAGTCTCCATGCCCATCTGGTCTCTCCCTGGGCTGCCTCACAGCCAGCATCCAGGCCCGAGACTCACAGCTCCCCTAGGCGGTCCTCGGTATTCCTGGATGCCCTCTTCCTCTCTCCTGGTTTACGCCTGCTGGAAAGGACCTCCTTCCCCAGCTCAAGAGCTCCCATCATGGTGAGAGTCCCACGATCCCCTGCCCCACTCGGCCTTCTCCCAGGGGGCTGGAGGGGGAGCTGCCCTCGGTTTCCCTGCCCCACCTCTCTCAGACTCACAGGCTTCCAGGTGAGGCTGCCAGCTCAGCCCTGTGACTGGGGCCACCCAGTCCTGGGGACTCGCCCAGCTCAGGCCCCCATTCTCCTGGCAGCCTCCTCCACTCCATCTCTTGGTTCTCAATGTTCTGAACTCAAAAGGGAAACAGAGGCAGCTAAAGGCTGACCCCTCGGCCCCGACACACAGCCACGCTGCACAGGGCTCGCTCAGTAGTTACACTCCAGTTAACTTCCTGAGAGGCTGTTACCCAGCCAGAGGCATCCACACCCTCACACCCCAGGGCCCCGGGCTTATATCTCTTCCCCCAGCAGTGCTGAAGACCTTGTCATGTGTCTTCTGTCCCAAGCTGAGGTTGAGGAGTTTGGGCCAGGCTCTGACTCTACAGGTTTTCTGGACGTTTGCAGCACCTCCTCTTTGTTCCTCTGAAACCCCTTTTGCTCATGGCTCTGGGGGCCTTTCAGTCTGAAGTCCCCACCCTGAGAAGTGGCTATGATGTTTACTTGATAATCTGACACCTTCCTGTTCTCTGCTGTATGTTTCTGGAATTTGTATTGTTAGATGAATCCTGGATTTATCCTCCATGTCTCTTAAATTCTCTCTTGGATTTTCTGTGTCTTTTTTCCATTTTCTGAATTAATTTCTTTATATATACTTTTATTTTTTTAATTTTAAATATTTATTTATTTATTTGGCTGCGCTGGGTCTTAGTTGAGGCACGCGGGATCCCCGTTGCTGCATACAGGCTCTTAGTCATGGCATGGGGGATCTAGTTCCCTGACCAGCGATTGAACCCGGGCCCCCTCATTGGAAGTGTGGAGTCTTAACGATGGCCAGGGAAGGCTCTATACATACCTTTAATTGTCAAAATTCTTTCTTGTTATGATTGGCCCTTCCTCCTGGCATCCTGAGTTACGGATGCAAAATACACCCCTGGGGACACTGATCTCAGGAAGCCCCCACAATGTGCTCTTAGACACTGAAAATGAAGATATAATGGGATGAGTGGCTGGCTCTGTCCCCACCCCATTCCCAAGAGGCTCAAGTTCTCACCTTGGGGGAACGACACAGGAAGAGCCTCATGGGAAGGAGGGAAATAGCCAGCCCCTGCCCTGGCAGCAGGAAGGTGGCTACTCTCCCGGCCCATCCTCCAGGACTGGGCTGACAGGAGTTGCAGGATCACTGGCACCGCCTGCGGAGCCCAGGAGGCCACAGCACCAGAGCTGCCCACGCAGACAGCTAGACCAACACGGACAACCAATCGCCATGCCCGGGCAAGCCTAGCACGGGCAGGGCCACACGGCCCACCGTGCTGCCTCACACCTGAGCTGATCACGCGGCGGCGGGTTTTAGGATCACTGTCTCGGGAATCATCTCTGTCCTACCCAGGGTCATTTTCCCTGTTCCTCTGGGCGTCTTCTTATGTTGCTGGCATTTCTCTGTCTTGTAATCCTGCCTCAGTTATATGCTCCTACTCAGGAATGAGGCAATAAAAAGTTCACTGGGATGTTAAAATTAAAAACACCTGCTATTCATAAGAGACTGTTACAAAAAGGAAAAGGAAAGGCACAGAATGGGAGAAAAAAATTTTTTTTTGGCCACACCGCGTAGCATGCAGGATCCTAGCTCCCTGACCAGAGATCAAACCCATGCCCCCTGCGGTGGAAGCACGGAGTCTTAACCACTGGATTGCTAGGGAAGTCCTGGAAGAAAACATTTGAAATATATATACCTAAGAACTTGTTTCTGGAATATATATGCAGAACTCTTACATATCAGTAATGTAAAGACAAATAACCCAATTTTTTTAACTACAAGAAAGCTGAACAGACACTTCACAAAGGATATATGAATGGCCAGTAAGCATGTGAAAAGATGCTTAATCTTTGATCATCAGGGATAAGCACATTAAAACCTCAGTAAGACACTACTACACAACCACTAGACTGGCTAAAGAGAAAAAGACTGACAACACTAAGTGCCCGCAAGGACGGGGAGCGACTAGAACTCTAATTGCTGCTGGTGGAATGTGACGCTACAACCATCTTGGAGGACAGCTCGGCAGCTTCTTAAAAAGTTACTCACAGCCGTAGTACACATCGCAGAAATTGCACTCCTGGTCATGTAGCCTGTGTCCATTCAAAGACGGCCAAGGATGCTCACAGCAGCCTCATTCGAAATGGCCCCAAACTGGAAACGACCCAAGTGTCCAAAATGTGCGTTGACAGAGAACGGAAAGAGACTAGCACCTCCACACAACACAGCACTGGCACCGAGAAGGAACAAGCTGCCAACTACATGACAACCCTGAGCCTCAGACACGTCATGGTGAGAGAGAAGCCAGACAAAAAAGGGCACAGTGCGCAGCTCCATTCTCACAGGACTCCCCGAAAGACAGATCTCGCTGCAAGCGGCAGGAAGCAGGCCAGTGGGGCCGGTGCCAGGGGTGCTGCTCCCTGACTGCAAAGAAGCACGTGGAACTTTGGGTGGCAGGAAAGTTCTGTCTTGGTTGTTACTCAAGTACCTGTGTTAAACCTTGTTGAACTGCACGCTTAACATGGGTGCATGGACTGTAGGAAATTACAGCTCAATTAAGTTGAATCTTCGCAGAGCCGACTGAGGGCGCTGCTTCCCTAATGTCAGATCTGCGCTGCAGACACCAGGGCCCACACAGCCGCCTTCCTTCTCCCCGTGGGTAGTTCAATTTCTGTAAAGAAAACTGTGCTGAGCTTCTGCCTGGGGAAGGAGCTCCTGGCTGCTGGGCACTCCATCTGCACATGAGGGGTGTGGTTCGCGGCCCCAAATACAGACATCCACCTGCACGTGCATGGCCCCTGGTGTCCCAAGGCCTAACCTCTCTGAGTCTGTAGGCCCACTGGCTGCGTTTCCCACAGGCCCACTCCCCAGCTGCTGCCCCCGCCCTCCCCGGGAAGGCTCAGGCTCACTCATCCGTGTGCTGAGACCCTTCTCCTGCTCCCGTCACTGCTGTGGGTTCTCACTGTCCTTAGTCCTTTATCGTCTTGTTTACAGTGGTGACAGGAGAGCAGACACTCGTGGCTGATGTGCCCTATGGACGGGAGGTCTGGATACAGATGCAGAAATCACACACTGAGGGACAGAGTCAAACTGAAATGCACGTCCTGGAAAGCACAGCGCACGGAGAGCCCAGCACACTAGCAGGATTCCAGGTTTCTGACCAAGTAATGAGGCCCCTGCTTTTGAAGAGGCTTGGACAGACTCAGCTCCCTGAAGGAAAGAGTCGGGGAAGGCTGAACCCAGCCTGAGCGCGCCGGCAAGAATGGGCTCGTCTGCCTCCGCCCTGCAATAAACTCCATAGCAGCCTCCCTCCCCTCCTCGGAAGGTGGGGGGCCTCAGAGACACCATGCAGAAGTACAACTGAAAACATACTTTTTTTATCCCTTGAGAAGCAAGACGAAGTATAAGGGGTCACTCGAGTAACCCTTGTTGGGATCAGAATATGAAAATCATTGAGATTCACTCCTAACGCTACAAAATACTGAAGCACTTGGTTTCTGCTCAAAGTTCTGCAGTCTGTGGCTGCCAGGGGGCAGGAAGCCCTCGCACAGGCAGAGCCTGGCCCAGACCAGCGGGCAAGCATTTAGTGTCCTTGGTGAGGAAACAAGAAAGCCACCACCCCTGCAACGCGCTGCTGCGTCCAAGTCCACTCCCCATCCCCACTTCACCCCAGAGACACGCGGCTCAGGCCCGCCTCCCGACCACCCTCTTCTCTTGCTCCTGGGGGCCCCTGTCCTGCTAGTCCCCCACCCATGCCCCTGCCCTGTGCCGATGTCCCTGGCTCAGCCTGGATGGCTCCTCTGCCTACAGTCACCCTTTGGGGGTGCCCCAGGTTCCTAGCTCTGTACCCTGTGGCCCACCTGCTCCATCCTGACCTCCCAGTTTGTCCACCTGGGAGCGCAGAAGCCACTTCCTATGCAGCCCGACCAAGCGCCCTCCCCATCCTCCCTGTGTGGTTCCCCCATCTCCAAACAGGGCAAGTCATCCCGCCAGGCACTCAGCCCCAAACCAGATGTGTCCTCGGCGCCTGCCTCTCACCCCATCTCATCTATCAGCGTGTGCACTGGCTCTGCCGTCTAGGTGTATCCAGAACCTGCCAGTGGCTCAAGCCCCAGCCCCTCACCTGGGGCTGCGGCAGCCTCCTCCTGTCTCCCTGCCTCCCCAGTCCCACAGGCTGTCCTCAACCCGACAACAGAGGATCTTTTAAAAACTCAACTTGGCTCACAAGCCCCCAAGAGTTTCTCACCTCACTTGGAGCAAAGGCCATCCTCACGAGGGCCTACACCACTGCTATCTCAGCCCCCTTGAACTTGAACTCTGATGCCAACTGAAGGCAGGCTCACAAGTCCTCTTCTCAGGGTGCCCTTCCGGACCTGCCTATTAAAGATCAGCCCCATCCACCCTGCCTCCCTGTGTTATGCAGGTGATGTCCCTAGGATGCTACAGCCAGAGCCTGTAATGTTTGGGTGTCCACTGTGCCCCCACAAGGGCCAGCTCACTCTCAGGGCAGGTGGGGCCCCTGCTCAGCCCTAACCCCAGGGCCCGGGATGGTGTCTGGCAAAGTCTATTTGTTAAATGAATAAATCACTGTTTCTCCTCCAGTGGCTTCTAATCCTGTGACTGCTAACCAACAGTGAAAAACCTTAAGTCCACAGTCTACAGCTTACAAACTCAGCTCCCGTCACCTCATACTTCCTTTTTTGAAAATAAAAATCACTGTTACCATTGAATCAATTCTACCTTTGACAAGTCAATAATGAACACAAAGATCTTCAGAAAAAGGAGACGGGAAACCAGCCCAAAGGAAGCCCACAAAGCTGATGAGCAAGCACATAAGGCCCTTTCTTCAGTCACAGAGAGTCGGGCGTGGGCAGCACAGCCCTGAGGCTGGCGTGAGCCCCAGCTGTCCCTGAACCACACTAGGCAGCAAAGGCTGCCCAAGTTCCTGGCAGCAGCTCTGGACGGAGCCCAGAGCTGGAGAGTCCAGACGTCAAGTTTCCTTCCTTCCAGAGACAGGGCTGGTATAAAAACTCCCATCTGGAGGTGCCCTCCTTGTGGACAAGGGGGCTCAAAGCCTGAACAAGCCTGAGTCGGAGCAAGGGCTCTGAGTGTGGACAGGCTGAGAAGCCACCCACAGACCCAGCCCAACAACCACAACTCCCACCAGGGCACTGCTGCCTCCAAGTGCCACTGACTGTCCTGCTAACTGGGACACTCCCACCGCTGCCCAGAGCCCTTCCGAAACTGCTTCTTTGGAAGGGACTCCAATGCCACTTGAGGAAACCTCATGACTTAGATGAGTCATACCTGTCTTGATCACTCAGCTCAGGCCCCAGTGACCTTGGACTGTTTCAAAAAGTCAAACCCGCCCATAATGGAAAAAGTTCTTTGGTCCCTGAGGATTCCAAAAGAAAGTCCTCTGCAGGAAATTTCAAATGTTCTAAGCGATGATGGCATCATGGACAGTAAAATTCAAGCTTCCAAGAGGGGAAGGAAAGGGCAGGGCCCCCTCCTCCACCAGCCGTGGTTGGTAGATGCGGCCGTGCCTGAAAGCTCGGTCACAAGGACAGTTGTGTCCGTGGGCGCCTTCCATCCTGATGGGTACAGCACATCAGGATGCCGTCCTATCTCAGGACACTGACGCTATGCTGTGGGACAGAGAGCCCAGCAGTCAGGCCTCAGTCTGCCAGCTGACAGGTCTGTCCTCCTTGAGAACCGCTGACCCCAGTGCCCGAAAAGGAACCAGCACAGGCAGGCACACCATTCACATCTGCCCAGTGGCACATCCACTGGAGAGACTAGGGGCCTAGTTCAGAGCTCAATGGCTCAGTCAGCATCACTCCAAGGAGGGCAGAAGTGAGGACACAGACAGGTTGACTTCTAGATCCAGCTCCTCTCCAATATCACAGACACAAGTCTAAAAATAAGGCGTGGGCTTCCTTGGTGGCTCAGTGGTTAAGAATCCGCCTGCCAATGCAGGGGACACGGGTTTGAGCCCTGGTCTGGGAAGATCCCACATGCCGTGGAGCAACTAAGCCCGTGCGCCACAACTATTGAGCCTGCGCTCTAGAGCCCACGAGCCACAACTACTGAGCCTGCACGCCTAGAGCCCGTGCTCTGCAACAAGAGAAGCCACCGCAATGAGAAGCCCACACACCACAATGAAGAGTAGCCCCTGCTCGCTGCAACTAGAGAAAGCCCGTGCACAGCAACAAAGACCCAGTGCAGCCAAAAATAAATAAATAAAATAAATAAATTTATAAAAATGAGGCGTGAGTTGTTATCCTGTGGCAGTATGACAGTACCTAAGAGTTCTTGCACTGGAATTGTCTTGGACTCAAATTACGGCTCTGCCACTTACTGAGGGGGATCTTGGGCAGGTTACTTAATGTTTCCCCTATCTGGAAAATGTAGAACAAAATTGTGTCTCTGTTGTGTTGAGCGGATAAATTCACACACACACACAAGGAGCTCCATGAGGCAGTTTCCATAAACACCAGTCACTGCTACGATGACACAAGCTTGGCACATCCTGGAAGGAGACCAAGGGTACCCATGTCCTTGCATACACGCAGCCCTGCCAGACATGGACTTCGGCCATAAGTGTGAAGGATATCCTTCACCCAAACCCCAACATAGCTGAGTCTCTCAGACGTGTAGGCTGAGTTTCAATGACACCAAGGAGAAATTTTGGTGACAGGTTTAAGTGTCACCTGTCAGCTGATACATCTATATTTAAACTTATTTACTGCTTTGTTGAAAGAAGTACAGTTATCACAACTTGAGCTCCCAGCTCTTTTCCACAGTAAATAACTCAAATTTTAACTTCATAATACTTTTTTCTAAAATAAATAAAGGAGGAAATGTTTATTCTATTTGCAAGGAAAGAGAACCCTGGGGGAGTTACTACAGAGGAAGATTTAGACACCCCATCACACTTCCCCACAGATCACCATAAAGTAGAAATCTGTGATCCCAGGATACCATACAGCTAACAAAATGGTCTTCTCCAACTGGTACAATTTTGGTTTCAGAAAGGGCGGGCAGGGTGGGCACCTGAGGAGGAACTGGACCCCACGCCCTACCTGCCGCTGCAGGGCAAGTTCGCTGTCCAGCTCCTCCAGCCTCCTTTCCAGCTTCCACTTCAGGTTCCCATACTGCTCCCGCTGCTGGTCCAGCTCACTGTTCCTGTCACTGTGTGAAAAGTGCAGTTAAGAAAAGTAACACTGAAGAGTCTCCAAACTACTCATTTGCAGGGTCACCTTTGCAAACATGGGGTGACAGGTGATGCTTCACTTTTGCGGGGGTGGCTTTGGCAGGACCCAGGGGACCTACATGCTGCACCTGGACAGGTGACTGCCTGCAGAAGAGTACGTGACGTGGGATCCAGGCTCTCACAACACAATTCCCAAAGTGCCTAAGATACAATCAAAAGTCACTGGTCATACCAAGAACCAGGAAAATCTCTACCTGAATGAGAAAACACAATCCACAGATGTTAACACCAAGATGACACAGATGCTGAAATGATCTAACAAGGATTTTAAAGCAGCCGTCACAAAGATGCTTCAACAAGCAATTTTGCACAGTTTTAGGACAAATGGAAATCAGAAACTCTGAGCAAAGAAAAAGTAACAAAGAATCAAATGGAAATTTGAGAACTGAGAAGTACAATAACCAAAACAAAGGACACCCTGGTTGGGCTCAAAGGCCGAATGAACATGTTAGAGCAAAGAACCAGCGAAAAACAAAAGTTACCTGACCTGTTAATAGAAATAGACTGAAAAAAATGAGCAGAGCCTCAGAGACCTGTGGATAACAAAAGATGTAACACTCACATTATCATCACTGCAGTCCCAGAATGGAAGGAAAAAGAGGGTGGGGCCAAAAATGTACTTGAAGAAATAACGGTTGAAAATGTCCCCAATTCGGTGAAAAGGAACAGGCAGAAGACCTGAGGAGACACGTCACAAAACAGGGTACAGCACTTCAAGGCTGCAGCAGAGCGCACAGCTGAGGCCTGGTCTCCCTTCTCACCGTGAGTGGAGCCCACAAGCCTGACAGCAGCTTCAGGGTCTCAGTCGACTTGCCTCAAGTCAGCTCACTTAGCTTTGGATTTAAAATATATTCCACACCATTAAAATAATCATAAGCTCAAATATGTTTTATTAAAATGATATAGATTTGTAAATCATGGGGAAAAATTCCAAATAGTTGAACCAATCTCCACTAATTTCAGCCACACTGGGACCCAGAAAAAGACATCCAGGTGTGGCCCTGCTTGCCTTCCCTTGACAAACACTGGACAGGTGGGTGCCGGGCAGCGCTGTGGGGCCGGAGGCGTGTGGAGGGTCGGGGAGTGGGGTCCGCTGGCCCTCACCTGTGGACCCGCTCCAGCTCCAGGCGGTGTTCCTGCAGCCTCTGTTGGGACTGCTGCTGCAGATCCTCCACCCGCCGGGCTTCGCCGGCCAGCGCCTGCCTCAGCTTGGCCACCTCGATCTTGAGCTCGCTCACCTCGGCCTGCCTGGCCTCCTCCAGCCCACGGGCCCGGGCAAATGCAGCGTCGTAACGCTCCAGCTCCCGGTCCCGCTCCTCCAGCACCTGCAGGTTGTAGACAAAGTCCTCCCGCAGGCGTCGCAGCTTCCCCTGTGCCTCCTCCAGCTGGCGCTGAGCGTCCTGCAGGGCTGCCTCCTGCATCTGGGAGTGCTGGGCCTGCAGTGCTCGCCACTCCTCCTCCTTGCGAGCCAGCAGGGCATTCAGGGCCTGCTCTGTGGGCGGGGGCAGCATGTCGGCAGCTGCAGCAAAGAGGAGGCAGGCAACGGGTTCACCGTTAGGGACCCTGTCTTCCACAACACACACCTCAGATCCCCAACTAAGTGATCGCTGTCACCAAAGCAGGAGGATGCTCTGGCCAGTTACTGGCTTTCTGGTCACACTCTGAGTTCTGGAGAGCCAAAGGCAGCTCCCCTAGGCTCCAGCAGGGCAGGGGCATACTAGGCCCAGACCCCAAAGGCTCTTTCTACCCTATCCTCACCCTACAGCAGAGGGAACAGACAGTAAGTGCAGGATCACTGAGGTAAGAGAGGAAGGAAAGACAGGGAGTGTTGTTTGCTCATCTACAAAAGCTAGGTTCTTTAAAATAGTTTCATAAAGTGCTCTCTCCATTTTGCAAATAAAAAAATGAGGCCGCTCAGTAGCTGAGCTGTGACTGGCCCCAGGTGGCCCCTGAGCCAATGCCCCTTCCCACACCCATGCTCTACTCCTGGAGCTGGAATGCAGGCTCCCTGAGATCCACCACCCAGAAGCAGGCTCCTCTGTTCTTGTGTCTCCAGTCCATCGTGCACTGATACTTTTGTAAAACACAATAAAGTGCTAGAAGAAAAAATGAAAATTAAAAAAACGAAGGTATATAATACACAACTCCGATTTTTTAATTATTAGATTCAACAGCATAAAACTACTTTGTCAAGTTGCCAACAAGTGTCTGAAGACCTCTTGCTTCCCGTCTCCACAGAGGATGGCCCACAAGGGGCAGGGCCGGTGAGGGTTGCTCCCCACCAGGGCACCTCCACCACTGTCCTGGTCCCATCACCCAGCAGAGATGGGGTGGATTCTGATACGCAGAACCGCTGGTGGGGGTGGAGGGGGGAATCTCCTGGGCTTGACTTATGCAATGTGTCCGAGGCTATGGGTCAGGCCCTGCCAGCTACACAACAGGCCCAGAAGGCATAAAGGCTGGCACTGGCATCTTCTGGGGTAGAGGGTGGCATGTGAATGATGCCCGGCTCTGAGAGTGCTTTTCCAGGAAGGCCAGGTGGGGTCTGAGGCAGGCATCCAGCAGTGACTTTTGTGTATCATTGTCCCTAAAGAGTCTGAAATGTCTGATTCATTTTAAGTGGGTCTTTTTTAAGAGGAAAAAGACAAACTGTCCCAGGCCATCTCAACCCACAGGGTCAATACACATTCATGGAAACCCTCTTGGACAGAGGAACAAGATTTCAGGGGCCTGAGAAGACACCCTGCAGGTTGTGGAGGTTCCATGCAGCCCCTCCCAAGGGGCACCAGCAGCATGAATACTGGTCCCCCTTGGTCAATGTAAAGCAAATATCCACAAACTAACTCAGAAGCAGGAACAGGAGAACCTGAGGGTCTTTTTTAAAATTTATTTTTAACATTACATTTACAGCAAACACTCTCTAAACCAGAAAGAGGACTACTTTTTTAGAGACATGAAGTTCATTTCACTCCTGAATTACTGATAACAAAAACCAACAACAGAGGGACTTCGCTGGTGGTCCAGTGGTTAAGAATCTGCCTAGCAATGAGGGGGACACCAGTTCAATCTCTGGTCAGGGAACTAAGATCCCACATGCCGTGGGGCAACTAAGCCCACGTGCCACAACCAGAGAGCCTGCATGAGGCAACTACAGAGCCTGCGCGCTCTGGAGCCCACGCACCACAACAAAGAGCCCGTGTGCCACAACGAAAGATCCTGTGCACCGCAACCAAGACCCAACGCAGCCAATAAATAAATAAATAAATATTAAAAGAAAAACAAACCAACAAAGTTCTACAACGAAACCTTACTTTCTAAAACCCAGCGGAGGTAAGAAATGAACAAATTTTTCATTTTACACAACGTTTTGATGGCATCAGGTTTACTGTGATTGAACTCTTCGTAGGACCTCAATTCAAACACCTGCAGAGTTGCTGCCACCAGCACTGCTCTCCTCAGACAGCCCAAGTCTTGCTTAGCTTATGAGCTGCGGACTCTTTGCCCTGTGAAAGGTGATCACTAATAACAGAACTCATAAAACTCTAGAGAAAAGCAACAAAAAACCAAAAAACAAACACACACACAGACACCCTACCAAACAATTATCTGTGTAATCAAAATTACTACTATTAACATCTTGGAAACAAAATGAAAAAAAAAGTAAAGTGGTCTGGGTTAGTATTTAGAGACTCCCAAAATATTCTGTCAGGACTAAAGAAACAATAAGGTGCGTTTTCTGGAAGAAGATGCGTGTTACGAGCTTGTCTACCCCCGTGGACAGTGGGAACATGAAACAAGCTTTTGAGACATTTGTTTCTCACAGCTCAGCAGAACAGTGCTCAGAACACAGAAAGTAAAATAAGAAACACACGATGAGGGAATTCCTGGTGGTGCAGTGGTTAAAGATCTGCCTGCCAGTGCAGGGGACACGGGTTCGATCTCTGGTCCGGGAAGATCTCACGTGCCGCGGAGCAACTAAGCCCGTGAGCTTAGTGTGCCACAACTACTGAGCTCACAACTACTGAGCCCGCGCGCCTAAAGCCTGTGCTCCACAAGAGAAGCCACTGCAATGAGAAGCCCGTGCGTGGCAACGAAGAGTAGCCCCCACTCGCCGCAACTACAGAAAGCCTGCGTGCAGCAACGAAGACCCAATGCAACCAAAAATAAATAAATAAATAAATAAAATTGATTAAAAAAAAAGAAACACAATGAACGTTAGGAATGGGCAATGAAGGCCAGGTAATTATTAAATATTGAGCAATGCATCTAAGGGCTTGCTGGAAGGCAAAGCACAAAGGAAAACAGGATCCATCATAGGATTTGCATCTTTCATGAGGAAAAAGCAAGGCAGTTTCCCAGGTGAAGCTGTCGGCATTTAGATCTAAATGAATTCCTTACGATAAGGGAAACAAATTGTGCAGGACAGGGCCTGGCAAGCTTTCTCCCTTTCCTGGCCAGTCGGTAAATATTGAGGGCTTGGTGGGTCACAGGGTCTCTACTGATGCCCCTCAACTCTGTGTGAAAGCAGCCACAGAGGACAGAAAAAGTATAGGCTGAGCCTCTCCCACAGGCCTGCTGTGCTGACCTCCAGACACTTGTGCAGGGGACGCTTTTATCAGCACCTGTGTGACAAATACTATCATTTCTTAAGGCTGGTCCTCGCAGCCCCTAATCCTCAGGGGTCCGCAATGATCTCAGTCTGGACAGAAACATCCATCCACAACTCCCCGGTGTCCACTGGGGGTGCAGGCCAGCCTCACGGAGGGGAGGAGGCACATGCCCTTCCAGCCCAGCCTGTCTCGGGGTGACTGCACCAGAGATGCGGAGCAAAGGGAGAGGGCACAGGCACGAGAGGCTGAGTGAGAAGGAGGAGAACGCAGGGCCTTGTGGGGTTGTGATACAGCAACAAACACTGGTCTTCATCCACGGTTTCTGGCACAAGGCTCCTAAAACCCTATTTCCTGAGTGACAGAAGCTACAGGGGCATCTTTAGTTAGTTTTTGTTCCTAGCTCCTGAAATAACTCCTGAAATGTCTCCCATTATTCATAACAAACCTCTTTCAACCACACCTGAGTCTATGTTAATGAGGTGATTTTGGAAAGCCCCTAGATAACCAATGGTTGGGGGCTGGTTGCCAGGGGAACCGGAGGGTTGGAACTTGCACCTCCACCTCCCAACTTTCAGGGAAAGGAGAGGAGCTGGAGGCTGAATCAATCACCAGTGGCTAATGGTTTAATCAATCAGGTTTAAAAATCCTGCCAGGTGGGCCTCCAACCCACAATCTGGACAGGATTGGCAAACAATCTAGGCATGTTGCAGCAAAAATAGAAATGAAGTTTTCCCTCTCCTGAGAACAAGAAAAATAAAGGGAACAGTGAACAGGCTAGACAAGAAACATAACCTGGCCTGAAAGAGTTAATCACTCCTAGTTTTAACTGTTACTAATCTGTAGTGTCTGTAACTAGATTTGTACTTCACAAAGCTAACCTATCACTCTTTAACACTATGTGAATGACATCCTGCACTCCCTTGTAGCATCTGCATTTCAGAAAGAAGGTCGCAGGCCGATAACCAAGAGACAAACGGACCCAACAACCCAATTACCAGGCTGCCTGAGGCTAGCTGTGACTGTTTTGAAATAATGCAGGAAAAAGAATGCAAGACCTTCACTACTTTTGATCCTTATCATATAGGCCTGACTGCAAGCCCCACATGTAAATCTTCTCTGATTCCCCTAGGAGCAGGGGCACAGTTCTTGAGGTGCCAGCATGCCACGTCTCTCCTTTGCCTGGCAGAGAAATAAAAGCCTCTCTATTTCTTTTCCTCCAAATCTCTGTCTCCGTATTTCTATTCGGCATTGGTGCACAGGGAGCCAAGGTTTTTGGCAACAGGCACAGGTGCATTTCTTTAAGAAGGTTACTCACCCAAAAGACATCTTCCAAACACAAAAACTCAAAACCCAAAACCTGCTTCCCTGGTAGCGCAGTGGTTAAGAACCCGCCTGCCAATGCAGGGGATACAGGTTCAAGCCCTGGTCCAGGAAGATCCCACATGCCGCGGAGCAGCAAAGCCCGTGCGCCACAACTACTGGGCCTGCGCTCTGGAGTGCGCCAGCCACAACTACTGAGCCTGCATGCCACAACTACTGAAGCCCGCGCACATAGAGCCCGTGCTCCACAATAAGAGAAGCCACCGCAATGAGAAGCCCACGCACTGCAACGAAGAGTAGCCCCCGCTTGCCACAACTAGAGAAAGCCCGCGCACAGCAACAAAGACCCAATGCAACCAAAAATAAATAATAAATAAATTAAAAAAAAACAAAACAGGGGCTTCCCTGGTGGCGCAGTGGTTGAGAGTCCGCCTGCCGATGCAGGGGACACGGGTTTGTGCCCCGGTCCGGGAAGATCGCACATGCCGCGGAGCGGCTAGGCCCGTGAGCCATGGCCGCTGAGCCTGCGCGTCCGGCGGCTGTGCTCCGCAACGGGAGAGGCCACAACAGTGAGAGGCCCGCGTACCGC